AAAAAAAAAAAAATCCAGGTAGCTGCTCACCTGTTGGACCTTGACATCTGCCTCCCAATTTCATCATGAACCCGTCCTTGCTCTGTTCTTTCCACCAAAGAAGGAAATGGCAAGTCTCTGATTGCCCAGGGCCGTCCACGTGATTTCCGTAGGCCCGAGTCCTTTCATCTGTCATGTGAGCGTCCTCATGGCCACAGTTTGGAGGGAGATCAAACAGCTCGTTTTCATGATGAACTGCTATAAATATAACATCCGAAATGTGGGAAGCAACAATGATAGGAAAAGATGTTCCTTGTGACCTAAGTTACAAAAACAACAACAACAAAATTGGAAATGACTTCTGTATGAAGCCGATGGGGGGTGGGTCAGTAAAGGGTGACATCAATTCCAAGGTGGAGAAGTGTGCAGCCTCGTGAAGCCCGCAGTAAGGGACCCAGGTGTGGCTTGGTGGCAGAGCGCTTGCCTGGCATGCTCCAGCCTCCTGCGTTCCCTGCCCAGCACTGAAATAATGGGAATGCAGGAGCCCTCTCCACATGAATAGGGAAAGAGTCCCAAATTCTCATGAAAGCCGACCCTGACACAGAGGGTTCAAGAGCAAGTAGTTCACACGGATTCTGCAACACAGACTCCAGATGGGCCCTCTGAAGGGGTGACGGAGGGAACTGCCCTTTGTTGAAGGTGGCTGCTGGGATGTCTGAATTCTCGCGGCACTGCTGGCCTGCCCCACAGGCTGGCAAAATAAGCTTTAAGGACCAGAGAGAAAGTTCTCAGGAAAGAGCGGCAGGGATGGGCAGTTGGAATTTGGGGCTGGCAAATGTGGAAGTGGTTAAGAATGGGATGTTGGAGCCGGGTGTGGTGGCGCAGGCCTACGATCCCAGCACCTCAGGAGGCTGAGGCAGGAGGATTGCAAGATCAAGGCCAGCCTCAGCAATTTAGCAAAGCCCCTACTAAGCAACTTAGTGAGTCACTGTCTCAAAATAAAAAAATAAAAAGGGCTGAGGTTGTAGCTCAGTGGTAAAGTGTCCCTGGGTTCATCCCCAGTATCCCAAAGACTTTATGCTAGAGGTCATCAAAACAAATCCTGGATATCATTTTTGCCTCGTTGGTAGTTTGGCGTTAATTTGATGAGGAAAGGTGAAATGTTTCTCTTTTTTTAATTACTGACTTTTTTAAAAATAACATAAGCACACCACTTGGAAAATAGAATAAAATTTCTAAGGAGTCATACAGGATAAACATTGCAGTCTGTTAAACTTGTTCTCAATTCTTAGAGCTCAAGTAAATGAGATTCACCCTGGTTTCTGTTAAGAGAGGTCCTAGAACGAATAGAAATTGGAACAATTGGGATAGTAATATATTTCAAAAGTCTTAAAAATAAGTACATCCGCTGATTCAAATTCTGTTTAGGGGTCAGGCACAGTAGTGCACACCTGTCATCCCAGCAGCTCAGGAGGCTGAGGAAGGAGGATCACAAGTTCCAAGCCAGCCTCAGCAATTTAATGAGGCCCTGAGCAACTCAGTGAGACACTGTCTCTAAATAAAATAAAAAATAGGGTTGGGGACGTGGCTCAGTGGCTCAGTGCCCCTGGGTTCAATCCCCAGTACACACACACACACACACACACACCAATCTATTTAGGGAAATCTTAGGAAACTATGTGAAAACAAAAATTCTGACTTAAAGATGTTTAAGGAAGTGTTACTTGTAACTGCTAAACCACCCAAACAGGGAAGAGATTGCTGGGCTACAAGTGTAAAGAGAGCGGGATTAACATTTTTGTCTCTTCTATTCCCTGACCTAGAGGTCAGTCCTGGTCAAGTAACGACTTCTCTGACACCAGTAGATACAGATATGGAAATAAGGATTAAAGTTAGGCAGAAACACACACATACGCGCACACACAGGGAATTATGCTTTCCTACCCTGTTACCCCACTCAGTGTTGCTTAAGGGAGATACTCCATGAACAGTGTCTGGCACACAGTAGATCCTCAATAAAATGTAGCTGTGATCAAGGAATCATGGTTCATGCATGAGATACAATATATGTGTGCCAGAGGGCCTTACAGAGGCCAATCCCCAGAGGCAAAAAAAGTAACAGGTGGGGCTGGGAATGTAGGTTGGTGGTGGAGCAATTGTATGTATGGGGCCCTGACACCACAAAACAAACAAAAAAAAAAAAAAGAGAGAGAGAGAAAGAAATTAAAATGGAAAAATGATTATTTATAAATCAAATTAATGCAGGGCATGATGGCATGTGCCTGTTGAGGCCAGCCTGGGCACCTTAGTGAGACCCTATCTCAAAACAAAAAAGGAGTGGGACTGGGTGGGGTGGCGGGCATCTGTCATTCCAGCAGCTGGGGAGGCTGAGGCAGGAGGATCCTAAGTTCCAAGCCAGCCTCAGAAATTTAATGAGGCCCTAAGCAACTAAGCGAGACCCTAACTCAAAATAAAAAATAAAAAGGGCTGGGGATGTAGCTCAGTGGGAGAGCACCCCTGGGTTCAATCCTCAGTACCAGAAAATAAATAAATTAATAATTGGGTTCATTTTTTAAAAATTGGTATCTTGATATAATGCCCAGGCTAGTCTCACACTTGTGGGCTAAAGCTATCCAGATCTCTGATCCTCCTGTCTCAGCCTCCCAGGTGACTGGGAGTATAGGTATGTGCTACCACACCCAACATAAATTCTTTTTTTTTTTTTTTACTGGAGATTGAGCCCAGGGGCACTTTATTACTGAGCTGCATCACCAGTCCTTTTATTTTATTTTATTTTATTTTGAGACAAGGCCTTACCAAGTTGCTAAGGCTGGCCTCCAACCTGCCATCCTCCTGCCTCAGCCTCTCCAGTAGCTGGCATTACAGGCTGCACAGCCACACCCAGCTAAGCTTAAAATTCTTGGGTGCGATCTCAGCTAAGAGTTCAAGAGAGAGACTGAGACGTGGAGAGACGGAAACAGAGAGCAAACCCCAGGCAGAAAGGGGGACAAACAGAAATGGGTACTGGGAAGTAGGACTAGAGGACATTTGCTTTCCTCTGGTCTGAACTACTGAACCCCTCCCTTTCCTCTGAAGCTCCAGAACATTCTACCTGCTCTGGACAGAGGTGCCCTCGGTCAGAACGCAGGCGAAGCCTTTAACCAGCGCCTCAATCTCGGTGGCATTGCTGAGGCCCTGTGTGAACAGCTCAGGTCCCCAGAAGCCTGAGGCTGGGATTCCTGTCCTCATGACTTAGGGGGCGTGTCCTGGGAGAACTCCTAAAAGGGTGGGGAAAAGGTCAAGGGAGGGGTGCGTGGTCAGAGGCGGTCTGGGCTCCACCGAACAGTCTGCCCACCTCCCCGGGGTGTCCAACATGCTCTGGTTGACCACAGTGACCCCCAGTGACCCCGGCTTGTGTTTCCTGTCACCTCTTGGTGTGCACATGGAGCCAAGGTAAAGTGAGGTGCGGGTTGGTGGGAGGGGTCCCTTGAGCTTTCTTGGACTCATATTTGGCCCAGTTTAGGTGGTTCCAGCTCTCTGGAAACACTACTTTCATTTCCCTCTCGGGGCACATATTAGAACAATTTCCTGTGAATACACTGGGAGTTTGGCTTGGTTTTTAGGTACTGAAGATTGAACCCAGGGATGCATTCCCACTGAGCTATAAACCCAGCCCTTTTTATTCTTTTCTTTTGAGACAAGGTCTCACTAAGTTGCTGAGGCTGGTCTGGAACTCATGATCCTCCTGCCTCAGCCTCCCCAGCCACTGGGATGACAGGCCCGAGTGGCTGAACCTGGCCACCCCACCCCCATGCCTCCCACCCAAGCCAGGAGACACCCGACGTGGGTGGGAGACGTGGAGAAGAGAAGGCCTCGTCTTCCTAGGCTAGTGGAAGGGGGAGGCAGGGTGGGCAGCTCTCCTCTGTGCCCAGCATGCCAGAAGGCTGAGGAAGACCAGGAAGTAGGATAGGTGATGGGTAGATAAAGAATAGATACACCCATGATAGATAGTGTCTAGACGGCTCAGGATAGAGAGAGGTGGATGGAGACAGAGGAGGAGGGACGGTAGGGGTACATAAGAAGAAGGAGAGAGCACTCCCTCGTAGTAGGATGTTAAGTAGTAAATGTAAAAGGAATGACAGAAATCTGAAAACACACAGCGTGGTCATAGTTGATTTAGGCAGAAGCAGCCTTGAGCTAAAACTGGTGGGGAGAGACTGTGGGGAATACTGGATATTGGCTTGTCCTCCAGATATTTCCCCCAATGTACTTATTAGTGCCAAATGGGGGGGAAATGATTAAGTAGGGTGGAGAAATTTGTCAGACCAACCTGGTGTCTGGATGAAAATTAAGGTCCCCAGTGATGGGGAGGGCTGACGTCACATGCCCCTCACACGATGTGCCAGGAAGACCCAGCCTTGTATCTGGCGTTGCTCCCAGGAAAACACAGCCAGGCTTCAATGGAGCGAGGATGAGGGCGTCCTACTGAACAAAAGGCCGAACTCCTCAAGATCACGAGGGCTAGAGGCCTGATCTGGATTGAAGTTACCCATAACCCCATACCCCTTTTCCCCCAGGCTTACTGGGCTGCAGGTAGGACTGAGCGGATGTGCTTAGGAAATCTGAGCATCACTTAGGGAGTTAGTGAACGATGCACATTCAGCCTGGAGACACACGCCTGTAATTCCAGCCTCTTGGGAGGCTGAGGCAGGAGGATCGCGAGTTCCAAGCCAGCTTCAGCAATTTACTGAGGACCTAAGCAACTTAGCAAGAACCTGTCTCTAAATAAAATATAAAAAGGCATGGGGATGTGGCTCAGGGGTTAAGTGCCCCTGGGTTCAATCCTCAGGACCAAAAAGAAAAAGAAAAAAAAATGCAGTTTCAGGGCCTATCCCTGTGAGTCACCATCCCAGGACATTCTGGCATGAAACCATGATCATCCATGGAGGAACGTCATCTCAGAGACTTTAGCAATCCTCCCTCCGGGTCCTGACCTTCACTCTCTTTCTCTCTGCCTGCAGGGTGACACTGTATGCCGAGTTCCTTCCCATGAAAGCCAGGGCCAAGTGTATTTTGCTGATTGAGGTAAGGAGGGTGGGGGATGGGCCTCTAGAAGAGGCTGGCTCTCTGGCAGGTGATTCACAGGTGTCCTGAGACAGGGGACAAGGGAAAAGGACTTTAAAAAAATTAACAGACTCAGTATGAGAAGACTCAGATGGACCACCCCTCACGTCGATTCCGACGGGCTGTTCTTCAGTCTGGGCACACTCTTTGATTGACAGGAAAATTAAATCAACTGTCCCTTTTAAAAAAAATGGTGGCAGTCAGGTGGTATGTCCTTATTCAATTGGAAATGGCTTTTACTTAAGAATAGGCGTTGAATGACACCTTGAACAGACGAACTCCTGTCCCCGCTCTTATCATCACCCGCCACCCCTGGTTTTCCCCAGACCGGTACATATCTTGTGAATGATCTCTGTCCTTGGTCACCCCCATGGGCCAGCCAGTCCCACCTGCCCTCCTACTTCCTGGGCTTATGACCCATTTCCAACCAGGACCTGAAGGATCTCAGGGCAAACACACGGCTTTCCAACAGCCCTCCACACAGGGGCAAAGGGATTAATTGGCCTCTGCTGGACACGGACGTCCACGGTATTGACTGTGAAGCCCCTGGGACCTCCTCTGTCACTGTGACCCCAATGACAGCGTTGGTCATGTGACCCCACAGGCCAGATTATCCATCCTGGCAGCATGCGCTCCTGACCAGCTGGGGTGGGAGTCAGCTGGTCTACACTGGATCAACCAGTTGTTTAAATAGAGAAATGCATCTGGGTCCTCCTGATCCTGGGCTCCAACTAGCCCTTGTCACCTAACACCCTGTTTCTCTCAGGATCCCTCAGAGCTTCCCACGATCCAGCAGCTAAAGCGTTCTAAGTTGCTGAGGCTGGCCTCGAACTTGTGATCCTCTTGCCTCAGCCTTCGGAGGAGTTGCTGAATGACAGGGGTGCACACCACTGAGCCGGTTAAGGACCAGGTGTTTGTAGTTGTAGAGGGGTTCCAGCAAGGGACAGTAATGAAGGCACCCTTTATTACTGCAGTGTGTCACTACCCAGGGCCTGTAAGGACCAAGGGACAGAGTAGTTAACAGCCCAGAGAGTTGTTTGGTGAAGGCTCTGGAGAGGGGCCGTGACCCCCTGAGGGGTGCAGCCAGCCCTGCAGGGAGGGGGCCAGAGGAGTGAGGGGGCCTCAGCCTCTCTCCTGCCCTCCCGCCCTCCCTCTCCTGGGGGCTCCCTGGGGGCTGCACTCAGGGAAGACTGCGGATGGCATTGGGGCAAAGAGGTGCGCAGTGACTTGCAGAGACATGGAGCGATCCCACAGGGAGGGACCAGCCCATCCTGTGCAGGATGCTGGACACCACATAGCAAGGGGGGTGGACGGACCCAACAACAGAACAGCGTTCCGTGTGTGGCACTCTGTGCGCAGCAGCAGCATGCACAATAGCTGAGACACAGAAGCCAGGCACACGTCCATCCGTGGATGCCAAAGAGGAAAAATGTGGTCCATCCACACAGGAGGTTTTTTTTTTTTTTTTTTTTTGGTACCAGGGGTTGAACCCAGGGGCGCTTATCCACTGAGCCACATCCCCAGCCCTTTTTCGCATTTTTATTTAGAGACAGGGTCTCACTGAGTTGCATAGGGCTTTGGTAAGTTGCTGAGGTTGGCCTCGAGCTTGCAATCCTCCTGCCTCAGCCTCCTGAGCCGCTGAGATGACAGGTGTGTGCCACCGCACCCAGCCTAATAGGATATTATTCAGTCTTAAAAAGGAAGGAGATTCTGATGTGTGCTACAACTTAGATGAACCTTGAGGACATGACGCTCAGTGAAGTAAGCCAGACACAAGTAGACAAATATTGTATGATTCCACTTCGATGAGTAGTTAGACTAGGCAAAGTCATAATAAAATAGTGAGCGTGGGGCTGGTGGGAGGGCCAGGAGTTCCTGTTTCATGGATATAAAGTTTTTGTTTTACAAGATGGAAAGAGTTCTGTGCTCGCTTCGGCAGCACATATACTAAGATGGAAAGAGTTCTGGAGACAGACGGTGCATTGGTTGTACAGTTTGAAAGTATTTCATAAAACTGAGCCATACTCTTAAAAATGGTTACAATGGGAAATTTTATATTACACGTATTTTGCAAAAAATAAAAAGGGGGTGGGGACCCTAAACCCAAAACCTCTCAATGCGCCCACTGTCATTTTGACATCACATAATACTGAGCGTATTACCTGCTCAGCCTGAGCTGCTAAGCTGCGCATCCCGCAGGATATGCAAATGCCATGCAAATATCATCGGTGTGGGCAGGACCCTCGGAAGATGGACAGCCCACGGCCCTAGCCCAGCCCTCTGGACCGCAGAAAAAGGTGGCCATCCTGACCTTGCTGACCCCAGGGACCCCCTCCCCACCCCACGACTGACCCCGATTCTCCTGTGCCAGGTCTTCTGGGCCCTTGGGACGGTGTTCGAGGTCATCCTGGCGGTGTTCGTGATGCCCAGTCTGGGCTGGCGTTGGCTGCTCATCCTGTCGGCTGTCCCGCTCCTCCTCTTTGCCGTTCTGTGCTTCGTAGGTATCTTTAGGAGATCTCCTTCCCTGCCTCGCACTTGACTGTATTTTGGTGGAAAGCCGGTGGAGGACAGCACCAAGACCACCTTTAAAATTTGTTTTTTGAAATCGGGAAATGAGATAAGGGAACAAGGCCTGAGGTAGCCCCAATACGGGGCGATAGATTTCCTCCAGACAGACACTTCTGGGGTGCTCTCCTGGAAGACACCTGGGGTTAGAGGAATACACTGGCCCCATCATTGCCAGATCCACACTTAACAGTGACCATAGGGTTCATTGGAATTCTTAAGCTATAAGTGACTGACACCTAATTCGCACTGGCTTGAGTAAAACAAAGGAGTAGATGCATGACAGGATTAAATATCTAGCTTCAGGCATGGCTGGATCCAGGAGTTCAAATTAGCTCTGCATAAACCACACCCTATGGTGAGATCAAGCTACACACTCCCATTTCATGCACAAAGCACTTTACTACCAGTGGGGTCTCAAAATAAGCCGATAGATTAACAGATCTCATGTATGGTAAATGCTACAATAATTCATGGAAACAACAATGGGTATTAATGATACTGAGTTTAACTGTGTGGCCATCTCTGTGCCAGGCCCTCTACATGTATACTTATTCCTCCCTGTAACCACAGGAGGCAGGACTGATGAACCTCTACATTAACTAGGGGGGCAGATAAAGCCCTCAAACTTTGTAGCTTAACACAATAGAATTTTATTTCTCACTAACATACCAGTTGAGAATGAGCATTCTGGATGGCCAGTGGGATTCTAGACCCAGGTTTTCTTTGCAGCTTGGGGCTCTGCCATCTTCCAGGGCTTTGGAGTCTTCTACGTGCAGATAATAGACAGAGAAGGGAAAGTGGAGATTGCACGCATGATTCTTGGACAATCCTGGCCCTGGGATAGTTTACTTACATGCTATTGGATAAAAGAAAGTCACATGGTCTCACCTAGCTGCAAAGGAAGCTGGGAAATGTAGTCCATGGCTGGGTGGCCACATCCAATGATAATTCTGCACTTTGTTAAAGGAAGCAGTGAACTTTGGTGGGCATTGGCTAATCTCTGCCACAACCCACTTTACAGCTGAGGAAACTGAGTCCCAGAGAGTCCAGTGGACTTGTCAAAGGACCTACAACAAGTAAACAGTGGAACTCAAATCTGAGCTAGATTTTATGACTGTGCTTTCTCTGCTATACCTGTTGCTTGGCAGGTTACCATGGCTTCATTTGACAGAAATGGGTTGATCTGGTCACTTGGAGTTGGCACTCCATTAGGCTTTTTCTCTCTCTTTCTCTGAGTTTGCAAGATGATGCTCAACACAGGTGAGATAGTTTCTTGAGAATTGGGGGTGACATTTTTGATGGTGGTCACAATTTAATTCAGCCCTCCCAGCGCCAAATAGTAATAGGAGGTGACAGTAATAACTCCAGTAATCCAGGGGGCTCCAAGCCACACACTTTGCATAGATTATCCCATTTAGTGCTCTCAGCAACCTTATGTGGTTGGATCTATTATGACCCCCATTTTATGGGGGAGGAAATGGAAGAACAGAGAGATCAAGGCATTGCACAGGATCACACAGCTCAGAAAATAGCAGAGTCAGCATTTGAAGCCAGGTCTGTGGCTCCGGAGTCCCCAGCTTGGCGACCCCACCCTCAGATGAGAGCCAGGGGCTGGGAAGTTCCACCCTCACCAGCCATGCCTGGGTCTCCTGTCCCTGCAGTGGCTGCCAGAGAGCGCGCGGTATGACGTGCTATCCGGAAACCAGGAAAAGGCCATTGCCACCTTAAAGAGGATAGCGACCGAGAACGGAGCACCCATGCCACTGGGGAAGCTCATCATCTCCAGGCAGGTCAGTGCCTGGACCCCCGGCCGGGGGCATGCGTGTCTGTGTGCGTGCAGGGGAGCGTGTACACGGAGACACTATGTGCGCATGTCCATGTGTGGGCAGGCATGTGAGAGAGCGCATGTATACAGGGTGGGGTCTGCACATGCGTGTGCGTGTGTGTGCGCGTGCACATGGAGTAGGGGGGTGGTGCAGAGGCAGGATCTGCAAGGAGAATTTGGCAACTTCAATCTGTGTATCCTCTGCCAAGTTCTAAAAATGCTACGTGGACAGGTTAGCCCATTGTAGGAGGTGCCATCTGCTGATGGTCCTGTAACTGCCTCTGCTTGGGGTCTGCCTTTCAGGACTGATGAAGTCCTGCTAGTAATGTGATTGATGGGCCACAGTTGTGCAGTAAGATCATTATATGCTGGGGATGTGGGGGATGTGGTAGAGTGCTTGCCCAGCACGTGCAAGGCCCTGGGTCTTATCCCCAGCACTAAATAAGAAGAAGAAGAATAAAAAGCTGGACACAGTGTGCATGTCTGTAATCCCAGCAGCTCTGGAGGCTGAGGCAGGAGGATCACAGGTTGGAGTCCAGCCTCAGAAACTCAGTGAGAACCTGTCTTGAAATAAAAAGAGCTGGGATGTGGCTCGATGGTAGAGTACCCTTGAGTTCAATCCCCAATACTGCAAAATAATAATAATAACAACAACAATAATTTATTACAAAGATATTTTTATTTGTGAAGACAGGGCTTGTAGGTGAACTAAGTGACCTATTATCTGGAGGGCTGTTTTCATTGTTAGCATGTTTAAATAACAAGCATTTCTCAAACTGCTCCTAGGAAAAACATGTACATGAACTACATCAAAGAAGAGCATAATCGCGGTCCTAGAATGTTTTTAAGGGAACATTGTAAAGCAAGGACTTGATAAGTTCTTGGATACTGATAAATCATAAATCTCATGACATTGGCAAATAGGTCATTTAGCTCATCTGTCTTTCGGAGGATTGTCCTGTGGTGGGTTGGCTTGTAGGTACCTTATTGTCACCTTGACCTAGAGCTAGCTTTGGAGGAGGAAGTGTGTGTGTGTGTGTGTGTGTGTGTGTGTGTATGCATGCATGCACATGCGTGCATGTGCATGAAATGCCTGCACACCCTTGGAGTAGATTCCCACACCTGGGTCCATGGGACTCCCTGAGGGACCTCATGGCGTCCCAGTTGGAGGGGGTTGAGGCTGGCGGCGGTCGGTTGAGTCCTGGGTCCTCAGCATGATTGTGTGCCCACAGAAGCTCCCTCCCAGCACTGGGGTGTACACAGGGGTCAGGCCACCAGCCAGAGCCCCACACAGCTGAAGGGGGGGGACAGTAAACCACGTGTCCTTGTCTTGAAACAGGAAGACCGAGGCAGGATGAAAGATCTTTTCACACCCCATTTTAGATGGACAACCTTGTTGCTGTGGTTTATATGGTAAGAGCTGCATGGCGACTGCTTTGGCCCTCCTGCACCACCAACTAGGCCTGGAATTGGCTTTTGTATTAATGTGATGCACAGAGAATGCCTCCATCGCAGGCAGCAGATCTTGTTTTTGTTTTTGGTTTGGTTTTGGTTCCAGAGCCTGAACCCAGGGTGCTTAAACACTGAGCCACATCCTCAGCACCTTTTATATTTTATTTAGAGCCAGCGTCTCATCCAAGTTGCTCAAGGCCTTGCTAAGTTGCCGAGGCTGGCTTTGAACTTGGATCCTCCTGCCTCAGTCTCCTGAGCCACTGGGATTATAAGCGTGTGCCACCACGCCAGGCTCAAACTCGATATCTTTTAAAAGGAAATTTTATTTTTTAAACAAGGGCTGGAGGACTAGCTCAGTGGTAGATCTCTTGCCTAGCAAGGTTAGGCCCTGGGTGAAATCTTTAGTACTACAAAAAAACGGGTAAAAAACATTTTATATATCTGTTTTGAAGGAAAACACCTTAATTGCAGGCCATAGATAAAAGGTACTATCAAAGTTAAATATAGTAAGCTGGGCACGGTGGCACAGATCTGTCATCCCAGTGGCTCAGGAGGCTGAGGCAGGAGGATTGCAAGTTCAAAGCCAGCCCCAGCAACTCAGTGAGGCCCTAAGCAACTTTATGAAACTCTGTCTCAAAATAAAAAAGGGCTGGGGATATGGCTCAGTGATTAAGTGCCCCTGGATTCAATCCTCAGTGCAAAAAAAAAAAAAAAGTTAAATATGGTAAAAAGCAACTATGTTGAGCTTTGAAGCAAGGAGCCTCTATATTTAAGAGACAGAGACTGGGGGGCAGTGGAGATGTTATGGATGTATCCGCCCACACACGGGACTGGGATGTAATCAAAAGAATCTAAAGAAAACTTAAAAGAGGATTTTCTACAATAAGAGTTAATAAACCAGGCACCCTGGTGCCCGCCTGTCATCCCAGTGGCTGGGGAGGCTGAGGCAGGAGGATCTTGAATTCAAACCCAGCCTCAGCAACAGCGAGGCACTAAGCAATTCAGTGAGACCCTGTCTCTAAATAAAGTACAAAATAGGGCTGGGGAAGGGGCTCAGTGGTCCAGTGCCCCTTGGTTCAATCCCTGGTACCCCCCCCCAAAAAAAAGTTAATATGCATGATCTGTTAGTGTTCTCTCCGACTCCATTGCCTTGGGTACCACTGGTGGTACACGGTCCATAGTTTGAGAACCAGGATTTGGTCAACATGACCATTCTTGGAACTTCCAGTTCTGACTCTGTTCAGTTTTTCTTAAACAACAACCATAAGAAGGGGCCTGATCGGGGAGATGTCTGCAGAGAGCAATTATCTGAATCAACTTTCAGCCATCCTGTCAGCTATCTTTGTACCAAGTCGTGAGCATCATGGCATCAACGGTGTGGAAAACCGGTTCAGGCTTCACGTGCTTTTTTAAACCAGTCCCCAGCTTTCCTACCCACCTTTGAGCACTGCTGTCATGATTAGCAGGGCAGTGTCCCCTCAGTGGCCAGTTACAGAGGAGAGGAGAAAAAACTCGATAATACACAGAACCAGGGTCCAGCCGCCCCCACACTGAGCTGAATCCATTCACCAAGCCCATGCAAATGTGGAGGAAGCCAGATTTTTCAGGGGGTTGGCTGGAGTGGAGAGCACCTCCCTATTCAGCAGGTAGCCAGTTGGGTGGACAGCCCTGGGGGGAGGCGTGTGTCTGGGGTATGATGCTGCTGACCTTTCAAAGGACACAGAATCAATTCCTTGGATGACATCACCTGCTTGCTTGGTACCTGTCATCTTCCTGCTCAGGGTCTTCAGGAAGGCACTCAAAGACTCAGCATGGTCCACAGACGCCCCCCTAAGTGGGTGGACGCGGATCCTTCCCAAGGGTGTGGGAGGAGAGGTCTTGGTGCCCTGCTGAGCTCTCCACCTCCTTGCTGTCTCCTGGCAGGTTTTCCAATGCCTTCTCTTACTACGGCTTAGTTCTTCTCACCACAGAACTTTTCCAGGCCGGAGACGTCTGCAGCAGTGAGTACTGAGATTTCCTCACCAGTCCCCCTCCCCTGCCCCCGGCCCCAGCAGGCGCACGCTGGCACCCGCTCCCACGCACACCAGTGGCTGTCCTCTATCAGCCTGGCCTGGCACAAACTGTGGCCTCCAAGATACTGCAGAGAAACCCAGATTGTTATTGAAAGCTTGGTCCTTGTCCCCAATGCCAATCCAGTAATGAGGACACTGTTTTGAGAAAAAGGAAAAAGAAGTTTTATTGCTTTGTTAGCCAAGGAGAAACCAGGGGAACTCTGCAGCAGAGGCTGTGATTCTGCCCAGAGAGGAACAGGGGTGTTTTGTGTTTGTTTGTTTGTTTGTTTTTTAAAGAGATGATTCATTCTCTGTAATTCACTTGTTAATTTGGGAGATGGGCATTTCTGAGACCTTCTGATGCACTCCCAAGTCTGAATTCCTTTGTTCCCAAAGTGAGGTGCTCTTGCACTCAAGGACACAGAACTCTGCCTTGGATGGGGAGGAAAGGCGACCCTGTTTTCAGGGAGATTAGGGACAGGGAAAGATTCGGTAGCAGTAGAGAGTGTGGAAGAGAAAGTAACAGGTCTTTTTAAAAATAAATCGCAAGCCAGGCGCGCCTGCATCCCACAGGCTCCAGAGACTGAGGCAGGAGGATCGCGAGTTCAAAGCCAGCCTCAGCAACAGCGAGGCACTAAGCAACTCAGTGAGACCCTGTCTCTAAATAAAATACAAAATAGGGCTGGGGATGGGGCTCAGTGGCGGAGTGCCCCTGGGTTCAATCCTGGACACCCCAAAAAAGTATTAAAAATAAATTAAGTGGCAGTGGCAGAGCAGCAAGGGCTATATTCAGTGCATAAGGTGGACCACCATTACCAGGTGATCTGGTCATGATGGAGCCGACATTTACAGTCTCATTTTAGGTCAGGGTGGGGGTCCTGAGGTTAGCACATCAACGTTTTAGTTTATTTTAATAGACAGCAATTCATGAATCTGGCAGTGCCAGTGGTTTGGGCTTCGCTAAAGGGATACAAGGAGAAAACTTTTATAAGTGTCAGAAAACCAAATGGCAACAAATTTAGGTTTCAAATGTAACTGGGGGAGTAGGAATGTGACTCTATTAGGATTCCAGCTTAGCATGCCTGAGGCCCTCCGTTCAATTTTTGGCAACACACACACACACACACACAATTTTTGTTTTTTTAAATAAAATAAAGATCTAATTGCTGAGCATGGTGGCGCACATCTGCAATCCCAGCGACTCAGGAGGCTGGGGCAGGAGGATCACACGTTGGAGGCCAGCCTCAGTAATTTATGGAGGTCCTAGGCAACTTAGTAAGACCTTATCTTTGAAAAACACAAAAGGACCGGGGATGTGGCTCAGTGGTAAAGTGACCCTGTGTTTAATCCTCAGTAACAAAACTAAGAATGAAAAAGATCTAATCGGCTTTTCTTGGTGTAGAGTTGGGGAAAACCCCATTCCCTAAAACAGAAAGGGTGTCCCGATGGACAGCGCCCAGGAGGGGAGCCCTGGGGTAGAAGAGGGCTGAGAGATCCAAAAATGGAATGGAAAGCAGATTGGTTGTCTAAAGTCACTTTCCCGAGAGGGTTAAACCCGGGGAACGTCCTTGTCAGGTCCCCAAGGCCCTTTCCTATTGGCTGCTGTGACTCCAGCTTTGGCAAAACCGACCCCTTTCAAAGTTCAGTTTGATTCTAAGCGGTCAGGTCAGCGGGGGCGGGGGGCGGGGGCAGGTGCTGGGGCCTGGGGCAGGTGCTGGGGGCTGGTGCAGGGGCTGGTGCAGGGGCTTGGGCAGGGGGCGGGCCTGAGCAAGACCTCGCGTTTACGTAACCTCAGGCGCTCAGCGGAGCTTGACCAGGACGGCGATTGGTTACCACGAGCGGATGGCGGGAGCGGATGGTTTCTGATTGGTTCCACTGGGTTTCATTTTGCTACTAGGATCCCAGTGCGCTGGGGCAGCTTGGCCTTGTGGCCTCCCAATTAACCTTTCCCAACTGCCCTTGAGGTGAAAATCGCCTGTGGTTAAAATGACCTTTGTCAATCCCCAGAGGAGCCCAGGAAGTACATCCACCCACAGAATCAGGTTCCTAATTGTCTTCAGAGCTTTCCCAGTTCTCTTTCCGATATTAAGCTTCCATAATCCTGGTTAATGGTGTTGTTTATTGTAGCTCAGTGGTAGAGCTTGGGCTTAGCATGCACAAGGACCTGGGTTCAAGTCTCAGAACAACAACAACAAAAAGGATTTTTCTTATTGGTGGAAGGATTTGATTAGACAGTGGGGTCCCATGGAGGTCTGGAGGGTAGGAGCCGGGGCTCCAATCTCCAGCAACACACACACAAAAAAAACAATTTTTAAATCAAGGTCTAATTGCAGGGCAGAGCCAGTTGCACACTTGTAATCTCAGCCACTCAGGAGACTGAGGCAGGAGGATCACAAATTGGAGGCCAGCCTCAGTAATTTAGCAATGCCCTAAGCAACTTAGCAAGACCCTACCTCCAAATAGGACTGGGGGTATATCTCAGGGGTAAAGTGCTCCTGAGTTCAATTTCTCGTTCTGATTCTTGTGTGGAGGCTCAATCAACATCTGGGTCCATTCCCACTCCTGACCTCCCCAACAACCCTGTCCTGTGTTGAAGATTGAACACACAGAAATATTGAGGGAAGAGCAAAAAGTTTTATTGAAAGGATAGAACAGAGGTGGTAGCCTCCTCTGGAGATGGGCTGGGACCCAGAACGGTGCCGGGGAGTGGGGATGTCCTGTCCCTGTTACAGATTTTAGATTTCCTGTTTCTTATGTCCCATCCTCCTCTTATCTTGCCTACTAGACCAAAAGGTGCAGAAGGAGCCTCCCAGGGGTACAGACAGGAAGGGAGTGGCCCTGGGGACATTCATTCATTACTGTTTGTTGGGAGGAACAGTTCCCTGGAGACAGGTAACCTTGCAACAGGTGGGAGGAAGGGGAGGTGTCCTGAAGGTATTAGCATTTAATTGCCTTTCCTTTCCAACCAGCCCCCATCTTCTCCACCCGACCCACCGACCCACCGGATCATCTGTGGTCGCTAGCTGCCTTTTGCACCCCACCTTGGCACCAAAAATAAAAATAAAAAAAAGATCTAATTGGCTTTTATTAGCTCGGCAGAAAAGCCTTTATCAGAGTTGTTGCCAGAGGCCTGAGTCCAGGGGTCCCAACTAATCAGGTCTGGCTGCTTGCTCCCCAAAACCAAGCAGGAAAAACTCATGGTGGAAAGAAGGAGAAGAACTTGGATCAGTGTGGTCACGTTGGGAGAGCAAAGTGCAACCCCGCAGTTCAGCCCTGAGCTTTAGTTTAAATAGAGGAAGAACTGGGTCAGGGCGAGAGGTCTTGTCATTAAGCTGTCTTAATTATTCATTAATTATGTTCTGGCGGATTGTTCTCAGTTCTGGTTCTGAAGGAGGCTCTTTGTCCTTTGGGAGGGAGGGCGATTCCCACTTGCTGCTAGAGGCTCACCTGGCCTGACTCTCCCTGTCCCCCTCTTTCCCTAGTCTCCAGCCGCAAGAAGGCTGTAGAAGCCAAGTGCAGTCTGGCCTGTGAGTACCTGAGTGAGGAGGACTACATGGACCTGCTGTGGACCACCCTGTCTGAGTTCCCAGGTGAGGGCCCTAGGCCGGGTGAGGCCAGGCAGGGACACCTGAGACCATGGCATCCGCTCAGCTGGGGGCCCACCTCTGCCACCCAGAAGCAAGTCCCCATTTCTAGGGAAGCCAGGGATTTTTTTTTCAACCCTTAGCTACAAGCAGTCAAGAACTGTGATGGACTGAGATTTTTTTAAAGGGGTGGAGATTTGGCTTCGTGGCAGGGAGGTCCTGGGTTCCATCCCCAGCACTGGGGAAAAAAGAAAAAAAAAGAAAGAAATTCTTTGAAGCCTGACGGGGTAAGCTGCCCAGACTCTTGCATGCTAGCAGAAGACACGAATCTCCTGGAAGAAAGCAACATGAGTGACACATTGTATCAGTTCCTCTTGCCCCAAGTCCCACGCCCATGATGAAGGAGCCAATAGGATATACATATATATAGCAATACATGCAATCAATTTGCAACATGGCTGAGTGTGTGAGTCCATTTGTCATTACTGTAACAAACTACCGGAGACTGGATACTTTATAAAGAGGTCTATTTAGCTCAAGGTTCTGGAGCTTAAGTACCAGGTACCAGCATTGGGTTGGCTTTGGTGGGTGATATGACAGTGGTGGAAGCACATGAGAGAGGGAGAGATGACATAGCAAGACAAGAAGCAAAAGGCACTGGGCAGGGGCAGTAGCAGCTTCCCACTGGACCCCGCTCCTCAAGGTCCCGCCACCTCTCAGCATCACCACACTGAGGACCAAGCTCCCAACAAAGAACCTTTGGGGGACATGTTCAAACCATATTCCAAACATAGCCTTGAGGAACCCCAAGCTTAGGAAACCCAAATCTTTTATAATGGGCTGCTGGATGTCTGTCCATCCTTTGCTCCAAAGGGAGACATCATCTTTATTATATTACTTAGTGAACATAGCTGCCCTCTGCACCACAAGGAGACAATACCTGTACCTTCCAAGGCTGTTTGCTGTATACAGCAACCTTGCAATGACGGTGTGAAATAATAGTCAACTTTGAAACCAGGGCTCTGCTCCTGAGATATGCAGAGATACAAGAGACCCAGGGAGAACTGCCCACCAACACCAGGAAGATGGGAAAGGACAGAGGGGCGTCCGAAATGCAAAACGGGACATGATGCAAAGGTTAGGTATCTTTTTTCCTTGACGAGGAATGGTAATTGCAACACTAAGAATATCAACTTTTTTTTTTTTTAAGTACCAGGGATTGAACTCAGGGGCACTTAACCACTGAGCCACATCCCAGCCTTATTTTGCATTTTATTTAGAGACAGGGTCTCACTGAGTTGCTCAGGGCCTTGCTATTGCTGAGGCTGGCTTTGAACTCGAGATCCTCCTGCCTCGGCCTCCCAAGCCTCTGGGATGACAGGCGTGCACCACCACAAATACTTACTGTAAACCAGGAATGGTGCCAAATGCTTGACTATACGAGCTCAGTCATCTTGTGAAGTAGTATAATTAATCCCATTTTACGAGGGAAGATGCTGAGACTTGGAAAAGTGATGAAACTTGGCCAGTGTAGTGGAGATGGTTCCTACAGCTTACATCGACCAGTCTCTGCATCTCTGTACCTCAGTGAAAAGCCTCCGTATCTGAAAGGGGGCAGCTGGAAGAGCAGAGTTGATGCCCAGGAGTAGCCTTCCAACAGTGACTGCAGGGCTTGGGGTATAAACACCCGGCTGCCTTGCCCACCAGGCAGGAGGGTCCATGGGGCGTGTCCTGCTGGCTCCCAGGTCCTCCGGTGGAACTTGGCTCTGATGGCCGGGCACAGGAGTGACTTGCTTGAAACACGACCTTCTTGGTCATCTTCCCTCATCCCACTGCCCACGGTCCTCCTGGTGCTTGTGTGAACAACCTCCTGAGTCTGCCCCTGACACCTGCATCCTTGTCCCACCGTCCACTTCTGGGAAGACCCAGCCAGGACGCTGAGTGTCCCACATCTGGCAAAGCTAAGAACTGGGTCCCTGCGCAGGGTCCAGAGTCTAACCCTGCGACGCCCTCACTTTCCTAAAACCCTTTCCGCATAGAGCGTAATAGGTAAGATTAAAGGCTCACAGGTTAAGGCTCAGCCCTGCCAACCACCATTTCTGTGACGTTCAGTGTGTGACATTTCCATAACCTTAAGCACTCACCGTTCTTGTGATTTCTCTCTGAAATGCAGATTCTTCTTTCCTTATTTATTGTTTTATATGTTTTTTTATTCATTGACACATCCCAACCTCCTAGCATAGTTCCTGACCACAGTAAACACCCTATTAATCAACTATTGAATGTAAAAAATGGGATTATTGGTAGTGTTTATTTAGAGAGCTCTTTAGATGATTAAATATGATAATAGATCTAACAAGAAGTATTTCCCCCAAATAGAATCATTATTAGTAATAACAATCACTATGCAATATGGCCTCTACTGATTTAGGAAAGGTAGGGTTTTTGGGGTGGGTTTTAGTTTTTAGTCTTATTTAACAGTTGAAGAATCTGAGGTTCAGAGAAGACCAGGGACTAGCCCAAGAACACAGGGCAAGTTAAGAGACAGATGCGGTCTTAGAACCGGGTGTTTCTTACTCCCAGCCTGAGCATGCTGCTGCCTGGATTCAGTGAACGTTACCATTCCAGTTCTCTTTGGCACCTGTATTACTTACCTATTGTCATGCCACAAAGTGTCACAAAGTTTAGTGGCTTACAACACCACACTTATTATCTCACAGTCGCTTGAGTGGGTCAGGAGTCTGGGGGTCGTGGCTTCCTTTGGGTCCTCTGCTTTGGCCCATCTCCCACTGCTGCAGTTAAGGAGCCGGCCATGGCCTGTGGTCTCATCTGAAAGCCCAACTGATGGTCATTGAAATCCTCCAGGGTTGCTGGACGGAAGGCCTGAGTCCCTCCCTGGCTGCTGTCTGGAGGTCACCTCCAGTTCTTTGCCAGGTCACCTTCTGCATCACACCAAGGACGTTAGAAGAGCCCGGGGAGAGAGGGGACGGGGGATGCCAGCAAGACGGAAGCCAGTCTTGGGAACCCTAACCCGAGCAGTGACCCCCCCTCCCCTCTTCTGTCCTTAGAAGCGAGCCACTAGCTCTGGACCACTCTCACGGGGAGGGGAGGACCAGGGTGTGCATGGCAGGGAGGGTCATTGGGATCCACAGCAGAGGCTGCCCACCATGCCCCTGCTCCCGGCAGGCGTCCTGGTGACTCTGTGGATCATCGACCGCCTGGGCCGCAAGAAGACCATGGCCCTGTGCTTCGCCATCTTCTCCTTCTGTAGCCTCCTGCTGTCCATCTGTGTCGGGAGGTGAGTTCCCAGAGGGAGGCTCATGGCTGCCCGGCAGCTGCCCAGCGCACGAGGCTCGGGGCTGGGGACTGTGACAGGGGTGAGGGCAGCAGGGACCTTTACCCCAGATTTGCTCTGAAAGCATCAAATCCAGGCTTTCCCCTCCTCTCCCAGTGAGATCACGCACAGAGCTGTCACACTTACCCAGGGATTCAGAGCATCCGTTGGTTCAATGGAACTGACCCTGTTTCAAGTAGACCCAGTCTGATAATTGGGCATATCTCCATTTTCCCAAATCCCAACAACCTCAGCCTCTAGAAGCAATCGGTGCCTTCTCTTGACCTGAGAGAGCCCAGACCAAGCCCCAGGAGGAATCTATGGACCATGGAAAGCCGGGCGAGATGCAGCTTGGACCAGGAAATGTTGGCATTCCGGGACATGGAGTGGGACCATCGAGGGTCGGGAATCAGGATTGTCCTATAAATACTGAATACTCGTGTCCGTTCCCTGGCTCAGCCGGCTCCTGGCTCCACTCCTGACCCCCTAAGTTCCTCTCTGGGCTGATTATTAGTATCCAGTCTCGCCCCCCAAACCGGGCACTATAGATGTCCCCATGTCTCAGCCTGGTACCTTGGAGAGGGTCCTGGAATATGTATACCCAGGGGGACTGTCACTACCCTGTGTGTCTACATGTGTGTTCGATGGAGGTGACCTTCGCCAATTTGCAGGGTTTAAATTCCACCTGGAAAGGTAGGATTTTGCTGAGGGGCAGCTGTGTGTGTGTGTGTGTGTGCGCACACACACATATACACAAATACCTGATCACCTGCTTTTTTTCCCTTTCCCCAGAAACGTGCTCACCCTGTTACTCTTCATTGCAAGAGCATTCATTTCCGGAGGCTTCCAAGCAGCCTATGTTTACACACCTGAGGTAGGAGAAGGGTCTGGGAACGACTGGGGTGGGGTCGGTGGACCCCATAAACTGCCGCCTGGCATGCTCCTGTGGAATGTGTCCTTGGGTCCAAAGGGCAACTGGGAAGCCCTTCATAAAAACATCTGCTCAGCAGCAGAATCCAGATGTCACCTACCTGTGTAAACACAGAGAGAAAGGACCCCACATTCTCCTCCCTGGGGACAGCTCTTTCCAAGCTGTCTCTGTGGGTGCGTGTGAGCAGTCACATTGGGCTAGCGGTCACTGAGAAGAGTTTAATAAAGGGATTGGTTACACGAGTGTGGCACAGAGCCTAGGGGAACCAACGCCCCAGAGTGTACAGTGAGGTGCAGGTGCCCAGGGGGACTGTCACTGTCCAAAGCTGGTTGGTGAAGAGAGAGGTGGGTGGAATTTTTTTTTTTTTTTTGGTGGGGGAGTACCAGGGATGGAACCCAGGGGCACTTAACCACTAAGCCACATCCCCAGGGCTTTTTATTTTTACTTTGAGAATGGGGTCTTGCTAAATTGCTGAGGCTGGCTTAGAACTCATGATCCTCCTGCCTCAGCCTCCTGAGCCGATGGGATTACAGGCATAAGACTGGGTGGGATTTTTAATGGAAGGAGACAGTTGACATTTAAATCTCAGTGTTCAGTAATCAAGTTTGATTGTGACACATCATACCCTTTCATGTACAGATGATTCACCCTGTGTGTGTGTGTGTGTGTGTGTGTGTGTTATCAGGGATTGAGCCCAGGGCTTTGCGTGTGCTAGGCAAGCGGTCTACCCTGGGCTTCACCCCCAGCCGCACAGATGATTCCTGATTTCTAAATGTTCAGCTTTAGGACGGAGTGAAAGCCCTGTGCTATTCAGTAGCACCCACACTGTGGTGTTCGGAAGGTTAGGTGTATTAAGTGCATTGTTGAGTTTTTAACTTGGAAGGGATTTATTGGGCTCTAACCCATCCTCAGGCAAGGGACCTCTGTCCATGGCTGCTCTGTGCTCTTTGGCATGGATGCCAAAGACCATCTGACCCACACTGCCCAGCGAAACTGTAACAAATAACCCCCAACATGGAATCGGTTGATGTGAAAAGAGTTCCTCATCTGTGAAGCAGTCCAGTATCTAGGTGATCTAGGTTGGGGAGCAGCTTTCCATCCTGCAGTGATCAAGTGACTTTGTCCCCCAGGGGATACTTGGCACCATCTGGAGGTGCATGGGGTTGTTGTAACTTGGGGCCAGGATCAGAGGCCAGAGATGATGCTGAGCTCCCTGCACAGCAGGGTCCCCATGACAGAGAAGGACCCATCCTAACCCCCGAGGGTGCTGAGGTCGAGAACCTGCCTGCCCCAGGGTCCTGGAGTCTTCCCGGAGACAGAGGAAGCCAGTGGAGAGGACATGTCCCCTCTGACGATCTTGGCCTGAAAGATGCACGTCCCCCTCTCTTGGTCCAGGGGACAGCTGTGCACGTGGCCACACCGGGGTGTAAACAGAAGCTGTGTAGCACTCTCGTCTCTCTTTGTGAAATTCCTTGAAAGCCCATGGTCAGAGCCTTAAGGGGAACTCGGGAGAAGTCGCAGGTGGGACCCTGTGGGTACAGAGGAGTCTCTGGGGGCCTCCCGGGGCAAGAGGAGCCCCGGACTGGGTTCTTGCCCACATCCACCCCTGGGCCTCTGCCTTGGCTGAACTTGCTGCCCACTTTGGGGTGCGAATGCCCCTGCCCCCAGTCTCACACCCCTTAACTGTGTCAGCAGTACCTGGAGGACGTGTCTGGACTTCAGGCCTGCCCGTGGGGGTGTTCACTTCGGTCCTGAGCTGCAGGGGACGGAGGGAATTGCGCATCTTCCTGAGCCCACGTTTGGTTCCGTTCCAGGTCTACCCCACGGCGACGCGGGCGCTGGGCCTGGGCACCTGCAGCGGCATGGCCAGGGTGGGCGCGCTCATCACGCCCTTCATCGCTCAGGTGGGTGTCACCCGAGGGCAGGGGAGGGGCTCCAGAGCCCAGGGCACAGTGAGCAGCTGCTGTCCCTCCGAGCCCTCGGCGTTCGCTTCACGAGAGTGGGCCTGCCACCCGCCCGCGTGCAGATGGGAACACAGAGGCGCAGAGGGGGAGAGGAGTCGCCGAGGTCACACAGCTGGGACCTAGACAGGGCCACAGTGGAATTCAGGTCCTCCCTGGGCAGGAGACCCTTCAAGTGCCAGATGGTTCGACCCCAAGCAATTTCGATAAGCTCGGCATCAGTGCCCTGGTGTGAGGCAGGAGGGTGGCCAGAGCCCAGGAGTGTGAGGCCAGCAAAGCCAACAAACCTACCACCCCCCAGATTTGGGGATGAAAAATAACTGGATCAACGTGGGAAACTAATGTCCTAATCTCTCTTTTCAAAACTGAATTATAAGGGAGAGTTACACAATTTCGCAACTCTGTGTGCCTCTAAGCATTTCTGTTAAGCTTTGGGGATCTCACTAAGTCTATTGCTTTTTGAATATCCAACATTTTTTTTCTGTTTTAATTGAGATAAAAGTCCTGTAATTAAAATTAATTTTTTTGGGGGGGGTACCAGGGATTGAACACGGGGACACTTAACCACCTGGCCACATCCCCAGCCCTTTTTATTTTCTTTTTATTCTGAGACAGAGTCTTGCTAAATTGCTCAGGGCCTTGCTAAGTTGCTGAGGCTGGCCTCAAACTTGCAATCCTCCTACCCCAGCCTCCCATGTTGCTGGGATTATTGACAGGCACCACCACACCCAGCCCTCTGCCCTTCAAACAGCCATTCCCTCCATTCTCTCCTTCCCCAGTCCTTATCAACTGTCCTTCTGCCCTCTGTCTCTGTGGATTTGCCTATTCTGGATGGTTGACATAAATGGAATTCCAACACATGTGTTAGCCAAGTATTTCTCTGGCGCTGTGGTTGGCCACTGCACACCACTCCTAGCTGATGTTGGCTGTGAACCTGCCATGGGGCTGCAGAGTGCAGGTGCTCTCAGCTGTCCTCTCACTCACGTGATAGTGCCCTTTTGCCCATTCCGCAGATGAGGAAACAGGAGTCAGCCGTGCCACGTGGCCTGCCGTGTGTTGTAAAGCTGGGAACTTGGCACAGGCCAGAGCAGAATTATGAGGAGTCCAGTCTCTTGGGCTTGATGTGCTCAAGTTCAAATCCCAGCCCCATCCTTATTATCTGTATAACCCTAGGTATGCCTTTACCCTCTTTGAGCCTCAGTTTTCTCCTCTGTAAAATGGGGGTAAAGTGCTCCGCTCACAGGGCTGTTTTATAGAGTTCCTGTGACGATTCCTTCCTCCCTCCATCCTTTCCTTCTTTCCTTCCATCCTTCCTTTCTATTGAACCCTAGGGTGCTTAACCACGGAGCCACATCCCCCCAGACTTTTGGATATTTTATTTAGAGACAGAGTCTCACTAGGTTGCTTAGGGCCTTACTAAGTTTCTGAGGCTGGCTTTAACTCAGGATCCTCCTGACTCAGCCTCCCGAGCCACTGGGATGACAGGCGTGGGCCACCATGGCCAGCCAGAGGGGATGTTCTCACCCACCTGCGTCTCCCTCCCCAGGTGATGCTGGAGTCCTCCGTGTACCTGACGCTGGCAGTGTACAGTGGCTGCTGCCTCCTGGCCGCCGTGGCTTCCTGTTTTCTGCCCATCGAGACCAAAGGCCGAGGACTCCAGGAGTCTAGCCACCGGGAGTGGGGCCAGGAGATGGTTGGCAGAGGGACACACGGTGCAGGTGTGGCCAGGTCGAACTCTGGCTCTCAGGAATAGTGACCGCTGGGGAAGCTGAGCTGGTGTCTTGGAGGCCGCAGAGCCGGGAGAGCTGGCGGGGCCCAGCCGGGCAGCTCGTGGTCACTGCCGACGTCGGGAACTCACCCGAGAAGACGGGCTGGACTAACAGGGTTTTGTGTCTTGACTCCGTTTGCCGTGTTCACTGAGGCCGCCCGGGATGGGGAGGCTCTGCTCTAGGGGTTCTCTGTGTAGGGGAAGGCTTACTAACGACCTGTGGGTCTGCATGGGAAAACTGCCACTTGTAGGTGAGTCTGGGGGTCCTGGCAGCCAAGCAAATGCCACCCAGAGTCACCCTGTCACACCTTCAGTGAACCACCACCAAAAGATCTCTGTAAATACTGTCCAGGCCCAGACCCCTGTGACACTTGCCATCCACCAACTGGACCTGTTGAGTAGGTATCTCCTACACCCCCCGGCCCCAGGCTTTCTTCTTTGAGATGACAGGTGACCTAGGTGTGTGGCCTGAGCGGCTTGTTCTTAGACTGGGGAAATGCTCTCTTGCCCGTCAGCAGGGGTCCCCCTGACTCCCTGGGGTCTGCCCAGTGGAGACTGGCTGGTGCACCTGCATTGGAACCTGAGCCCGGTGTCCCCACGTGGCTACCTCTGGAATTGTGTCTCTGGCTCCAGGGCATCCGGACGTGTCCCTGGGAAGAGCAAGGTTTGCACACGATGGCAAACTCAGAAAGCTGTGATCCCACTCCCAGCCCAGAAATTGGGGGCTGAGGCGCAAAGGAGGAGAAATTCAAGCTCGCAGCCCAAACAGGAGTCACCCCTGTAGCAGCAGCAAAGGCCACACTCAGGCGTTCTGTCCAGGTCTCCTCCTGGGCCAGCCTGAGTGGTGCCTCCTGGGGAGAGGAAGTGGCTCACTCAGGTTTCAAGGTTGGATTTTGCACCTAGGTAGAGGGCTGAGTGGGCAGAGGAACCAAAAGGACGTGCCTGGGTCGGGGTCAGGGGAGCAGGAATCCCTGACGCGCACATGCTCCTTCCTTCCTGTTTGTGGGCACCCCCTGTTGAGGGCTGTGCTGGTCCAGACCACACAGTGAGCTCCTGGGCTCCCACCTGTGGCACCGCCCGTGGGGATCCTGGAGGGGGAAGAGCAGGAAGGCCCGGATGTGGGAAGAGTGAGCATTTTCAGAGGAGGAGGAAGGAGGCCATTGGGGGCTTGGTGTTGGCCTTCAGAGGAAGCCGGCTGCATCCCTCCCAGGATTGGTCGACAGGAGCCTTTTCCCCACGGAGAAGGCGGAGGACCTACGGAGGGAGGAAGGAGGCTGCCAGAGAGGACCCACCCGTTGCTCGATGTCAAGGGAGCCCAATGTGTGCGTTCATCTCCTATTAAAACATGTCGGTGACGGACATGGCGGAGGTCTCAGCCTGCTCATTTGTCATAGTGTCCCAGTGGCCGTTCAGTTTGACAGTCTTGGGAACTCTGTCCATCCGAGGAAATCTCAGTGTTTTGATAGGATGAACTCTTCCAAAAAGAGGGGGAAGTTGCACAATTGACCTGCACCATCGGGCTTGGAGTGTGTTGGGCATGACCCTTGGTTCTAAGGATGTGGAGGCCATGATGGATGCTTTCTTCAGGCTCAAGTCCTAGGTCAGCTGCAAACACTCCCCGGTCCTTGGAAACAGGCTACAATCCCCCCCAGTCCAGGCTGTCCGACAGCACACAGCTTGGCAGATCTATCGTTATCTCTCTCTCTCTTTCTGACATCCACATTTTCTTGAACTCCAAGTAGCTAGAGCTCTAGTGATTTCTGGACATCTGAGTTCTCCCAGATAATACAATCTTTCTTTTTATTTTATTTTTTTTTCAGGGGTGGGGTGTGGGTACCAGGGATTGAACTCAGGGGCACTCAATCACTGAGCCACATCCCAGCCCTATTTTGTATTTTATTTAGAGACAGGGTCTCACTGAGTTGCTGAGGGCCACGCTTTTGCTGAGGCTGGCTTGAACTCGTGATCCTCCTGCCTTAGCCTCCTGAGCCTCTGGTTTTGTTTTCTTTTTTTGCTTTTTGCCCCCCAGATGCTCAGATACTGCCAGTGGAACACATCTGCTTCTTCACCCTCAAATAATCCAGTAAATTGGGGACTGGGAAGGAGTATTTGGTAGGCAGGAAATATTTTCTAGGGACTATGTTGAAGGAATCAGTTTTCTACTTGAGAGAAAGAAAGTTTAAAATTCTTTACCTTCTAATTGGCTTGCCCTTTAAAAACAAATCAATGTTATTGAATGATATAAGAAATGTCACAGTAGTCATAAGTCTCTGAAATACATAGGGCCTGAAGCTAAAGATGTTTGTATCTAATTTTAAACAATTCTCTCAAAAGCTCCTATTTCCATTAATGGAAATGTCATTTGTTTCTCTCCACTTTAGAAAGGATTCCAGAAAATGTCAGAAAATGTTCAACATAGCCAGGGTCTTTGATTCTTATTTCAAGCATTCTCAAGGGTACATAAATGACCTTGGTGTTGCTGGCAGTGACATGAAAGAGTATCTAGGGGTCAGCTTTGAAAGGAGTGTAGATTGTGTGTGTGTGTGTGTGTGTGTGTATGTGAGAGAGAGAGAGAGATTGAACTGAGGGGAGCTTATCCACTGAGCCACATCCCAGCCCTTTTTCATATTTTATTTAGAGACAGGGTTTCACTGAGTTGCTTCGGGCCTTGCTAAGTTGTCGAGGCTGACTTTGAACTCATGATCCTCCTGCCTCAGCTTCCTGAGCTGTTGGGATTACAGGTGTGCGCCACCCCACCTGGGGATATTCAATATTGTAATAATGTTAGTCACTGGAAGTCTTTGAATGATGACAAGTTTCCCCTAGTTGTTACTAATAGACATCAAAGGACTGGCACACCCTTAGCCACAAGTAGCAGCTCAACAACAGCCTCAAAGTCAGACAGAGTCCAGGGGAGCTTCAGCAGTTCATCAAGGACCCAGCTGCTTTGTGCCTTTCCTCCCCGTCATCCCCTGCATGTTATCCATTAGACCCTATGTGTGAAACCTCGTGGTCACAAGATAGCTGTCAAAGTGCCAGCCATCAAATTTATTTTCCCAGGAAGTAGAATCGGAAGCAAGTGGTCAAGTGTGGCCTGGTCTCATGTGATGGAATGGAGAACTGGGAGCCCCCAGGCCCAGGCAGCTCCCTCTCTGCAGACTGACTTCCATCTCCTCGTGCCTGCTGTGCGTGCATAACTGTGCTTGTGGCTTCTGCTCCCTGGGACTCCCTGTCCTCACAACTGAGCTCTGCAGACACTGGCTCAGCTGCTGGATGTCCCACTTCTGAATTCTGGAGAAAAGAAGGTGATTGGCCCATGTGAGCATTGGTCCTGGGGCTGATTTTAATTGGGTGGGGGGAGTGGAGTCAAGAGAGACTGATGTGGCAGCTGCGGCCTGCCCTTTCATCAGAGTATCACAGGCAGCTGCCAGATGTCTGAAACCCACAACAACATACCAACTTGGTTCTGTTATTAAAGTCTCTTGTGGATCGTGTCATGCACGGGGTCAGTGTGTGTGGAGTAACTTCCAGGAACCGGATGTGAAACTCAACACCAAGGATGAAAAATGATAGCACATGGTCCTTGTCTTTTTTTACCATGGATTGAACCCAGAGGCACTTAACTCCTGAGCCACATCCCCTCAGCCCTTTTTATATTTTACTCAGAGACAGGATCTTACTAAGCTGCTTAGAGCCTCGCTAAGTTGCTGAGGCTGGCTTTGAACTTGTGATCCTCCTGCCTCAGCCTCCTGAGCCACTAGGATTACAGGCGTGCACCACTGAGCCCAGCCATGGTCCTTATTTAAATGAGACACGGTGAGGTAGGAGAACAGGCCCAAACACCATTGTAGAAATGTGACATGGGCCCTACTGGATGGAGGAGGCACCGAGGCTGCAAACCCAGAAGCTCTAAAACATCATGAAACATCTCTGACCCCGCAAAGTGGCTTCCTTGGGGTCACTTACTACCTTCTACCCTTGAGCACCTTAAACATCACAGAAAACCATCCTTGATTAGTCAAGGATATTACAGGATGAGCTCCTTCACACGCCCCACCCGCCCATGCCAGAGTACAGAGCACTTCCTTTTCTCTTATCTTTTTTGAACCCAAGGGTGCTCTACCTATGAGCTACATCCCAGTCCCCTCTTATTTTTTATTCTTGGCTTTGCTAAGTTGCTGAGGCTGGCCTTGATCTTGTGATCCTCCTGCCTCAGCCTCCCGAGTGGCTGGGATTACAGGTATGCGCGACTGTGCCGGCTGAACAGCGTGCTTTCCAGATCTATCAGAAAAAGCATAATTCCACTCCCAATAGCATCAAAGAGGATAGCAAATGTAACTTAGGATTGGAAGACATGCCAACTACAAAACACTGCTGAAAGAAACATCGAAAAAATGGATAGATGTTCTCTGTTCATGCATGAGAAGACTGAAAAGTTTTAAGATATCAATCAACATTCATTGAATTTTCTATAGCTTCAACACAATCAAAATCTTAGCTGGTGTTTTTACAGAAATTGGCAAGCTGATTATACAACTCACATAACTATGCAAAAGACCCATAATAACCACAAAGAAAAGGAAATGAGAGGGAAGGAAAGGGAAGGAGAAGGAAAAAAAAAACTTGAAAAAGAACAAAGCTAGAGGACTCATACTCCCCAATTTTAAAATGCACTACAAAGCTACAGTAAGCAAGGCAGTGTGGTACACAGGGAAGTCGGATAGAACTCAGAGTCCCCAGAGAAACCTATACATTTATGGTCAACTGGTTTTCAACCAAGGTGTTAAGACAATGAAGAAGGAATAATCTTTTAAAAATTCATCAAGCTGCTAACAATCCCTGAAAGATCACCTTAAGGGAAAGAGAGTTGTTTTAGGTAAACTACAGAAATCCACGTTGACACAATCTCTAGGACCTTGTAGGTTACAGAATACCTTCATGCTCCTTCTGATTCTGCATTTTAGGACAGAAACATGAGGAAGCCATTATTTCCAAGAAGTTCTTACCACTTACAAAACAAAACCCAGATCAGAACAGGAGGGTCACCTGGGTCTGAAAGTGGACTTTGCTGGCCTCATACGTGGCATGCTGGCCCTCGAGCGCTGTGATGGACCAGGTAGCCTTGAATGGTCGGGGTCACTTTCCCTGAAGAATTTCAACTTGGGGAAAGAAATCGCTTAAGTTCTGAATCTCATTCTAAGTGCCATGGAGTGCCCCTTCCCGGGGAGCCTTGTTGGAGTCCCCTAGTCTTGTCCCAAATGTGGTTCTGAGGAGGGGAGATTTACTTCCTTTTCAGTGTGTTTGCTGAGAGAGTTGGGCAAGAGGCCCAGCCAACCAATGCCTCCGTAACTGTGGGGTTTGGGTTTTGTTTTGTGGTGCTGGGGATTGAACCCAGAGACTCATGCAGGCTAGGCAGGTGCCCTACACTGATCTATGTCCCCGTAACTGTCCGTGTTCTCCTCAACTTGGAATTCACTATTGTGTGCTGGTTGAAAGTGAGATACCAGAGCCATAGTTTGGAGGCCTGAATCTTCCTTCTTCTCCTTCCCAACTCTTGACCTTGGGCTGCCTTTCTGTGCCTTGGTCTCTAACCTATGAAGTGGGGATAAGAGCTACCCACCAAGCATTTGTGAGGATTGAAGAATAATGGGCACAGGAGCTGAGCACAGAGACTGCTACCCAGTCAGGAGGCAGCAGGTTTCAGCTATTGAAATAAAAATCACTGTCGTTAGGATAGAGCTCCTAGATCTTGGCAGTCTCAGCTAATTCGGCTTAGGATTGTCCAGCATCATGGCAGGTGCCTCATGCAGAACCCCGTGAAATGACATGGGAAGGGACAGGTGCTGATGCATGGGCAGAGCCTGGGGTAGCATCCTATGGACCAGCGGAGACCTCCCCTCAACACACAGGGTACCGCTGATCCAAGATGCCCAAAGCTTCCTAGGCTCTGGGCTTTCCCACAGACCCAGACAGGTGAAAATTCAACCTCTGAGGTGGACGCAGGTAATTAGGGAAGAAGATGCTGAGGGTCTCTGTGATGGTTGATTTTAGGAATCAACAGGACTGGATTAAGAAATACCTAGAGCACAGGGTGTTTCCAGAGGAGACCAAGGTGGGAGGTGTTGGACTCAGTGGGGAAGGTCAGCCCTCAGCGTGACAGGCACCATACAGTACAGTGGCGCCTGATAGAACAAGAGGCAGAGGAAATGTTTCTCTCTCTCTCCTTCTCCCCCCCCCCTTGGTCTCTCCCTCTCTCCGGTCTCTGTCTCTCTAGGGGCTGGGAAGCTCTTCTGCTCTGGGACATCAGAACCCCAGGCTTTCAGGCATTTGAACTCTAGACTGACACCAGTAGGCCCCAGTATCTCAGACCTTTGGCCACCGTTTTCCCTGGTGCTGAAGATCTCAGATTTGGACTGAGATGTGCTATGAGTATCTAAGAGTTCTAGTGTGCAAGTCATGGGACGGCTCAGCCTCCAGAATCACAGGAGCCAACTCCCTTAACAAATCCCCTCTCATTTGTCTCCCAACCCATCCATCCGTCCATCATCCATCCATCCATCCATCCATCCATCCGTCTGTCCGTCCATATATCTAATCCATTCATATCCATCATCCATCCACCATCTACACCCATCATCCATCCATTCATCTATTCATCTATCCATCCATCCATATCCATCATCTACCATCCATCATCCATCCATCCATCCATCCCTCCATCCATCCATCATAAATCCATATCCATCATCCATCCATTCATCTGTCTGTCCATCCATGCTTTGGGTTCTGTCCCTCTGGGGAACCCTGACTAATTTAGTCTCCTAGGTTCATTTAAGGCTTTAAAAAACATCCAGCAGCCTCTTTTTCATCTCAAGGGTGCTAGACCCCAGATAAACCAGAGGCTAAATCTGCACACAAACAAGGAAGGTGCTTGGTGAGCTGAGTCTATAAAGTGGTTCCTTGTGGGATATCCTCCCCGTGGCCCCCTTAGAGGTTACCTGTGCCCATGGGGCTACTCTGTGGACAGCTGATGCCAGTGGAGTCCTGCGCTACCAGTTCCCTGCTTCACCTCCTCTGGCTCCTCCACACCCCAGTCCTACCTAAACCTCCTCCAACAACATCTGCTACATCATTTCTTCAAGTGGGTTCTCGGGACTCGTGAGTGTTCTGGATTTCATAGCCAGACGGGTTCAGGAGGTACTGGGTTAAACAAAGTCAGGTAAATGTTTTTGCAGCAGGACTTTTCCAGAAACTTTAATATGTTAATGATAATAATCAAGTGAATTCATCTCAGCTAGCCTCTATTTTCTGGGGTTCCAGGAAGCTGGTCTCTTTAGTTTTCCGAGCTGCCCTTTCTTCTGGGGACTTGTGGAGTAATAGCTTCAAGTGTCCTTCACAGCATCAGACCCAGAGGCAGCAGAGAGGCCTCAGTGATCAGAGGGGGGCGCCTGTCCAGGCTGGACTCCCCTCCAGGACTGGACCTTGTGTTTTCCTGTCACCTCGGCCTTCTTTGCTGCAAGAATTCAGGGTGGGACGAGCAGGTTGTAAGCAAGAGCTAAAGCAGGAGCCATGATTAGTTGGCCAAGGGGAATAGGGGGTCCCTGTGGGCAAGGTGGTCCTCAGAGGTGGGAGGGTGGCCCCCTGGACAACTTCCTTTCCTCCAGGATCTTGCCAAAGAGCTTGGCTGCCTCCAGGGCACAGCCCCAGTGAATGGTGATCCCTTGGCCTCCGTGGCCATAGTTGTGGATGACCTGGGAGAGGCGAGAGGGAAGGTCACTAAGTGTGGCAGGGGTGGTTGTGTGCCACAGTTAAGGACACTCAAGTGCCCTGGCAGACCCGAGAGCTTTCTCAGGAGGCCTTGGCAAAGCCAATGTAGGAGCTTCTCCCGGGGCTTTGGTGTGATGCTGGGCTCTTGGGAAAGCAGAAGGGGGATCGTTGCAGAGCTGCAGGTCAACCCCGACTTGTCTTCTGCTTAGAGGGTGGGCCTGCTGTGTACAGGAAAAGCAGAATCCCATCCAGAGGTGCGAGATCTCCACATCCAAGTGTCGGAAGCCCCCTGAGTCACCATCTGCTCCCATCCTGCTCGGGATGGATGGACCCTCCCCGTCGACAGACAAGCTCTTCAACCCACCATGAGAAAAAGCAGGGGTACAGGGTGATGTGCTGATCCCCTCTGGGGACCCAGGAAGGCCTCTGGGCCTTTTTCAGAATGAAAATCATCATCAGGAAATGAAACTCCATATCTGACTCCCCCCTCCACACACAGGACACACACGTCTCTGTGTATTTACAACCTCTCCGCAGACACACAAGCCTTTACACACACAAACCCCTACCCACTTCACCCCTCCATGCACACACGGAACCCTCTGTACCTGCAGACGCACACACACGTGACCCTTGACACGCACACCACCCTGCAGACACAGGCACACACCGTATGCCTGGGGTGGGAAGGAAGCATGACTTCATAGGGAGGTGGCTTTGCTGGTGGCAGCCCAGCTGTCACCTGCTCAGGACCGTCCCTTCAGCTTGGGACAACCCCATGGTTTCATTAAACCTTCCCTGTGACAGTGAGACCCCAGAGAGCGGACAGGGCAATGACAAAATGGATATCGGGAGATGTCCCTGGAGTCAAGTTCAAGTCACACGCAGCCCGGCTCCTCACCAGCCGTCGGACGGGGGCAGGAGGCTGCACCTCCCAGAGCTCCAATTTCCTCATCTCAAGCATGGGGCAAACTGTCCCGATCCCAGAGGACTGTAGGGGAACGACCTCGGGTCCATCATGTCACCGGCTGGCCTCTGGGGACTGACACCTGTTTTGCTCAGCCACAGACTCCAGCAAGCCGAGGCACTGCCATCAAGGAAGCCCGTACAAGCCTTCAACCATTCTGAGCCTCAGTGTCCCCATTATAGACAGAGGGATGTCCCCGCCATGCCCCTGACCTCAGGCTGTGGGGGACTTTTCCCTGGAAACAACGGAGTTGTCTTAGGAGCCCGAGGGCTGCTGTCCCTACCAGGAGCGCACACTATACCTCTGTGTCTGCAGGTCCCCCAGGGAGCCGGTCCCTCTCTAGCCGGATCTGGGGGCGCGCAGGCCGGAAGCCAGCACCCACACCGACGAGTCTCGCATTCTGGAAGGAAAAGTGCCAGCTGCTCACTTCTGCTGCTGCCATTGTTAGGCCACCTAACGAACCACCACTGCCATCATCGCCACCATCACCATCGCTGCGACCACCGGTGCCAACTCTCTCACTCCATCTCCATTCAATGCCACCGACACCACCAAGCACTGCCCTGATATTACCCACAGTCCCCACTTCGTCACCATCGTCATCACCGTTCTTTGCATTTTTGTACTTATCAACACCCACCGCCACCTCCATCCCTATCTTCGTCACTGTCACAGCCCTTGTCACCACTAGTAGGCAACGGGACAACTGAGCTTGCTGTAACAGGCCCGTCTGCTCCTTGTGCAGACAGACGAGGTCACTTGGGCAGTGTCCCCTCAAGAGGAGACAATTCTCAGCCTCGGGCATTTGGACTTCATTAGCCTGAAGCCAGGACTTCCCTAGACATCGTCAAATCCCGGTGCGTCCCACAGTCCCTTGCTGGAACTCATCTGTCCACTTGTCCTGCCCCTTGTTCCAGGGGCGCTGTCTTCCCATCTTCCTCTTATTGTTATTCTCATTATTTATTCATTTATTTTGGGGGGGTACGGGGTATTGAGCCCAGGGTGCTTTACCACTGAGCCACGTCCCCAGCCCTTTTTTCTTTTTTCTTTTGAGACAGGGCCTCACTGAGTTGCTCAGGGCCTCGCTAAATTGCGGAGGCTGGCTTTGAACTGGCGATCCTCCTGCCTCAGCCTCCCGAGTCGCTGGGATTCCAGGTGTGTGCCACCCGCCTGGCTCTCTTCCCGTCTCCGAGTGTCCTAATAACCAGGAGCCTGGTCTAGGGCACCGAGGCCCGTCCCCACCTGACCTTCAGCGTGGGCTCCAGTCTGCAGCAGCCTTCCCAAATGGTGTCGTGGTCCTGGGTATCGATCAGCTCCGTCCAGTTCCCCAGCTGGAAGATGCCGCCCAGAGTGACCGTCTGGCTCCTGGATTAAAATGCGCGAGGTGGGGGGGGAGACAGAGCCTTCGAGGTGCGTGTGGACCATCGTGAGCTGCCTCCTCCTGCCCTCGTTACTAAGTCACTACCACCACCATTGTCACCACCATCGTCACCACCCAAATCACCACGGCCATCACCATCAACCCCATTCAGTGCTCTGCCCACACCTTTACCGACACCATGAGCACTGCCTTGCAATTGTCATTTCTGTCACTTGTCAACATCATGGCTGGTTGTCACCTCCATCAGCACCCACTCATCCCCGCACACGATCACCACCACTCACAGGACTGATGTCCTCGTCAATACCACGCCACCCCCCATCACCCCACGATGGTCACTGCTCCACCATCCCGACGCCAAGCAACACAACACTCCATCAGCACTGTCTCTCCCACCAGGACAACGCTGTCACGCCATGCCACTACCAAAAAGTGTCATTCCATCACGCGGCCACTGTCTTCACTAACATCGTCCCCTCCACCCTGGATGCTGTCGTTGCAATCAACTCCAGTCACCCTCCTCCCGTTTGCAGTATTGCCCATTTACACCCCTCCTAATTCCACTGTCATCGTATCCAGCACCTTGGTCCCTGCCTCGCCACTAGGGTCATCCAAAGAACCCTGGAAAGAGCCAGACGGAGTGAGGCCAAGCCCTGCCTTCCAGGGGTTTGATTGCCAGGTCTCTCTCACAGAGCACTGCCCCACTCAGCAAGGGACCAGGGCAGGCAGGGGGACATAGAGAGGGCACAAGGTGCCTCCTCCACCCTAGAGCAGGCCGATCATTACCCTGGGATGATGTACGGGGTCTTGTAGATGCCTCTCTCTGGGTCATGGGTGATAATGAAGTGCTTCATCCACGGGGCTTCCACCTGGTGATTCGGAACAGAGACATCTTGTCAGGGGAGCAGGATCAAAGGGCTTCCTTGAATGGCTTCTGGCTACAACCAGAAGTTCCAACTAGAGTAGCTGGGCTGATCCTGCCCACTCCACAAACCTCCTGGCCCGAGGCTGCACCTAACTGCTTGTCCCTTGCAGCAGACCCACCCTGATTGACAGCTGCCCCTGCTCCCTAAAGTATGCTCACCTGTGTGTCGAGGAAGAGCCTTTTCACCTGGGAGAACGTGCACCTGCACACCCATGAATATACACTCTGCACTTACACCCAGGCAGCCCCTCACACAGGGATAGGCAGCTTGAGACGATGACCAGTCCCCGGGCTCTTAAACCAGGTGGCCCGAGTTCTAATCCCAGTTCCACCTCTCATTTACCACATATGAACTCAGGCCTGCACTTGACCCCTCTGTGCCTCAGCTGCTGCTTCTGTAAGATGGCCACGGTGATATGGTAGCACCCATCTCAAAGGGTGGTAGTAAGGACTAAACTAACCAAGCACTGTGCTTAGATCTATGCCTGGCACTTAATACACATTGCATAACTATTTACTATTTTTTTTTAATTTTTATTTTTCAGTTTTTGGCAGACATAACATCCTTGTTTGTATGTGGTGCCGAGGATCGAACCCGGGCCGCATGCATGCCGGTGAGCGTGCTACTGCTTGAGCCACATCCCCAGCCCCATTATTTGCTATTTTTATTACAATACAGGCATAAGCAGCTGGTCCTACAAACATATCCACACGTGCTTTGCCATGAAGAAGAAATTGTCCATTGGGCACACCTGTGGTGCATGCCTATAATCCCAGAAATTTAGGAGGCTGAGGCACGAGGATCACAAGTTGGAGGCCAGCCTCAGCAAATTAGTGAGACCCTGAGAGACTTATCAAAATTTTCTCTCTCAAAATAAAAAGGGCTTGTGTATAGCTCAGTGGTAGAGCACCCCTGAGTTCAATCTTTGGGGAGGAGGGGGAGGGGGGGAGGAGGAGGAGGAGGAGGAGGAGGAGAAAAGAAAGAGAAATCCCAAAAGAGCATTCAGGGTGGACAAGGCAGGATGGCCCTTCTCCTTTACCACGTCAGTTCCCCAAAGTCTGGGTCACTCTGACACACGTTCCCCACTCTTCCACTAGCTGTGGAGGTGAAATAAGCATGCACAACAATCATCCCGTCAGCGGAAGCTGGGCGTCTCACTCTCACACTCACCCGAATGACCTGTCCCCGGCCTGGCTGCAGCAGGGGGTCTGGCTGCAGCCCCCCAGCCCACACCCCGGTGCAGTTGATGATCACATCCACGCCTCCTCTTGCCACCTGGCAGCAACCAACAGGGTGGGGGGATGATGAGGACCCTGGCATCCCTGTCTCTGCCTTCCTCCCTCCTCCTACCCCACAGCTGGGGAACAGTGGCTAGGAGTCCCCATGGGTGGATCAGAGGGAAGTGCCTCAGCATCTCCTTTCTGCCATTTACCCACAGTGTGACCTCAGAAATGTCCCTTTATCACAGCCGCCCCCATTACAGAATGGGGCCTGCGTCACCAGATGACAGGCAGCTGAGATCCCCGGCAGCTCTGTGTATAAAGGAGCTGGGCCCCGGGGACTGTGGAGTGGGGAGACCTCTGGGAACCCTGAAGGAAGTCAGAAAGAAGCTGATGTCCCCCTTCTCCTTCTGACTCCTTTCCATCTGGTCTTCTATGGCGCCAAGGTGTTTGCAGAAAGATGCTAGAAACCCCAGCTCTGTGGGTGTCTGGGCCACTCGTCCACTCAAGGACACACAGTGCAATGACCGCCCCAGCACCCCAGCTCAGCCCTGACCGTGGATCGCAAGGGTCCATCAGGGCCCTGCCCAGAGCAGGTAGGTCCTCACTATAGAATGCAAGTACTGAGTACTAGTGCTCAGTACTGATAGCCGCATGTGCTAAGCACCTTTCACGTGCCAGGCGTTGAGTGCTAGGGCTGAGTGGAGTCGCCCAGCACTCTTGGTGCTCAGTCATTGCCTGGTGATGGCGGCTGCTTCCACCGTCATCCACGGTGTTGCTGTTCCTTTGATCCGGGTCCCAGCTGAGGGCCTGGACTATTCAGAAACATCAACCTCAGTGTCGTAGGAAGCACCCAAGCGCCTGGACTTGGAAGGGGAGGGCAGCTGATCCCACTCTAGCCCTGAAGCTCACTGAGGCTCAACCTCATGGCCGCCAGGATTCCACTGTTCTTTATTCCTGCCACTAATGTCTGGGCAGATTCCTCCTGGAATCTCAGAATGCCTGAGTCCTCCTGGGGTTCAGAGAAGGACTAGCGTCGGGGACAGGCCTCAGGAGACTCTGGGAGTCTGGCAAGGAGCCCCCAGCCCAGCCGCAGGAAGCAGAGGCCCCTTCCCTCCCACACCCAGCCGTTCCCCCCATGGCTCACCTCCTCCAAAGACGCCACCTTCCGCAGGAAGAACTGCACGCCCCTCTCAGTCAGCCTGGGACAACCACACGGGTCAGAAACACCTAGAATTCAGTTCTCTGCCCGGCCTCCCAGAGGGTGGGGTGGGAACATTTCTGAGGACACGAGTCCCACCGGATGCTCTTTGAGAATAGGGCAGGGTGGGCCAATTAGATCACCAGCGCCTTGCTGGACGAGGGGGCCAGGAATTGTCCCCTGGGAAACAAGGTCTTGGACATGACCCAAGTCCCTGGCTGGGTGGATGGCGGAGGGAGAAGGGAGTCTTCCTGAAGGTTCTATAGTGAGTCAGGCAGTGAGGGGCTGGGCTCAGGCTCCTCCCTCCCTTGCTCTCTGCCGGCCCCCATGGCTTGGTAACATCGGGGGATGAGATTTGGGGTGGACGAGGGGCAGAGTCGGGCCAATGCCAAATGCCCCTTTGACAAAAGCAGGACACAAGGAGGGAGGAGGCTGGGGACACTCACCCCTCCCTTGAAATGTCCCAGAGGAGGTCTGGGATGTGGCTCAGTGGCAGAGCGGTGGCCTAGCATGTGTGAGGCCCTGGGTTCAAGGCCCAGCAATATACAACACAACAAAAATGTCCCTGAGGAAAAATATCTGTCACTACCAGTAGTATAGTAAAGATATCCAAAGAATAGGACGTAAACCATCTTTAAGCTGAAGGATAACCTTGGGATGATTTCATCTGCATATTTCCTTCAAGATAGGAAAAATTGGGGCTGGGATTATGGCTCAGTGGTACAGACTTGCCTCACACAAGTGAGGTCTCGGGTTCAATTCTCAGCACCACAAAAAAAAATAAAATAAAATAAAAATAAAGACGTAGAGCTACATTGTAGCAACAGATCACTTTAAAAAAAAAAGGAAAAATTGGAAGCATTTTCTTCTGGAAGAGGCTGGACGGGGATCATAAGTGTCCCCAGGTTCGGAGAAGTGACCATGTCAATAGTCCCCAAGCCTGGCTGGTAACTAGAATCATCTTTCCTGTTTTGGTACTTGGGATTAGACCCAGGGATGCTCTACCACTGAGATACATCCTTAACCCTTTTTAATTTTTATTTTGGGATAGGGCCTCACTAAGTTGTTGCAATCTTCTTGCCTCAGCCTCTGGATCGCTGAGATTACAGGTGTGCCCCACCACCCCCGGCCCAGGGAAATTTGTGAAATAAATTCTGAACCCCACTCCAGGGTTTCTGATTCAATGAGTGTAAAGTAGGATCCTGAAATGTATATTTTTAGGAATCTCCCCCAATTATTTGGTACAAGTCACCATTCATTCCAGAATTAAAAAAAAAAAAAAAACCTCAGTAAAATAGTAAACTGTAGGGAATACATGAAATCTTTCTTAATATGAATGTATGTGAATATAAATGTGGATGTATTCCTCAAGCGAGTGTTTGCTAGTTTGGAACACCATGAGATTGCTATTAACGTCAGGAAAGAAACAGGGATATCCATTATTCCATTATTACCCATATTAGTTAACATTCTAGAGACACCGACCAAAGCTGTGAGAGGGGAGACAGGGAGAGAGAGAGAGAAGGCGTCTTAGGTTGTAAATATAGTCATGCATGGTGGCACACACATGTCAACCCTGCCTTGAGAGGCTAAGGCAGGAGGATCACAAGTTCAAGGCTAGCCTCAGCAATTTAGTGAAACCCTCATGGAGACCCTGTCTTGAAATTTTAAAAAGGAAGAAAGAAGGAACTGAAAATGTAGCTCAGTGGTAAAGTGTCTCTGGGCTCAAATTCACTGTATTAAAAAAAAGAAGAAGAAGAAAAATGGTGTCAATATACCTGGGAAACGTAGGAGAATGCACTAGAACTTTCCATGAAGTTGTTAATAAATACATGCTATAAGAAGCGGCCTGGGTGTTTCCAGTGCCCAGCCAGGGGCAGAGCCACGGTCTCAAGGACAGTGGTGATCAGAACCAAGGACAGCGCCCACACCTGGCCTAAGGGTTTTTTTCAGCTGGGGAATTGGTCTCTACCTGCAAGAACCCCATGACACTGCTGTCCCCCAGCAGGGTCCCTGGCAGGCGCCCGCCGGCCTGAGGTCTGAACTTACCTTTCCGTCAGCCACTTGAGGTAGGTCTTGCCATCCAGGATCAGGCTGGTGTTGAACCAGCCATAGCTGGAGTCCCCGCCACCGGCCAAAGGAAACAGCAAGTCAGAACCCCAGTTAGACTGGAAGGCTGACCAGTGGAGGTGGGGTCAGTATTGTTCCGTGGGTCCCCAAGAATCATGGGGTGACATTCATGGGGCTGGGGGAGGGAGCGATTTTGAGCTCAATGAAAAGAGCTATTTTCTATCAGAAAAAGCCATCCCTGAAGTTGGAATATAAAAATGGAGATGGGATGTGCCATTGGTAGAGGGGATTCAGGCACAAGGTGGGGTGAGGAGAGGATCCGGAGGCAGTGGGATTCGAGGCCTCTGTGAAGGAGTTGGACGGAGCATCAGGAGACCAGGGCACCACAGGGACCAGGGGAAGACGGGCCACAGAAAGCTGGGCGCCTCTCTCTGCTGCCCACGGGATGGTTCTGTGTGAATTCCGCGGTGCCTTGGCCCCTCTGCCCCTGAGGGTACCCTTACCCATAATCAGGGAACATGTCCAGCTCTCTGGGGGTCAGCTTCCGAAATCCCAGAACTAAGTCTTTCCAGACAGGGTCCTTAAGAGCAGGAGAGAAGAGGGACAAGGATTGGTGACAGTCGGTAAGAAAGAAATAACAAAAACTTAGACGGCCCTGTGTGCGAGGCTTGGTCCCACGAGTTTCCCGCGTAGAGATCCAGTTCATCTTTACAACCAGCCACGAAGGTGGGGTTACGGTCCAGATGTGGAGTCCTCTCAAAGCTCAGGTGTGAGACGACGCCAAAGGTTTGGAGGAGAAATGATGGGGTCCCAGCCTTGACCTAACCGTGAGTCATCCCTGATGGAGTTATTCAGTGGTGGCCGGTGGCAGGTGGGGCGTGGCTGGGGGCAGTGATTCACTGGGGGCGTGGCTATGGGGAATATATATTGCATCTGCGTTGCTCCCTCGGCCATGATGTCCTGCCACACCTCGAGCCCAGAGGAATGCAGCCTGCTGTCTACCGAGACCTCTGAACCCGTAAGTCCCCCCAAGTCAACTTTCCCGCTCTGCCATTATTCTGGTTGGGTCCTTTAGTCACAGCCATGGAAAAGCTGCATGCTCTTCTTATCCCACAGAGGGACGGATGGAGGCTCAGAGCTCCTCCAGGCTCACACAGGTAGTAAGTGGTGAAGCTGAGACCTCAGCCCACACAATTTGACTCTGGAGTTCAGGTTCTTGCTTTTGGGGGGGGCGGGTACCAGGGATGGAACTCAGGGGCACTTGACCACGGAGCCACATCCCCAGCCCTATTTTTTTGTATTTGTATTTTGTATTTGTATTTTGTATTTGATTTAGAGACAGAGTCTCGCTGAGTTGCTCAGGGCCTCACTAAGTTGCTGCGGCCGGCTTTGAATGCGCAATCCTTCTGCCTCAGCCTCCTGGGCCTCTGGGATGACAGGTGTGTGCCACCGCACCCGGAAATTGTTCTGTTTGTTGTTGTTGTTGATATTGTTTTGTTTTTGGTGTGTGTGGTGCTGGGGACTGAACCCAGGGCTTTGTGCATTTGAGGCAAGCGCTCTACCTACCAAGCCGTTATCCAGAGCCCACAGTCAGGTTCTTAACCACTCTAAAAAGGGTAAGGGTGAGGCTGGAGGTGAGTGATAGAGGAGAGGTCATAAATGGGGCAGAAACAGGGGCACCAGAGACAGTCACAGAGGGTGAGAGTAGAAGGCAGAGGGCACATGGGCCCTCCTGGGTGGAAACCCCAGATTTGCCACCTTATCTCTCGAATGACTAGAGACTCCGTTTTCTGGTTTGGGACAATCGTTTCTCTTGGCCCCATGACAGGAAAGAGATAGCGCAAGGCCAATAATCCTAGCACTAGAGATAAGGAGGGAATGATCCTAGCACAGAGTTGGAGAATGAGTAATGAGGGAGCTAAGCACCCAGGGCTGGGCCTGCCCCACCCCACCCTCTCCAAACAGCCCGAGCCCATCCTGAACGGCCTTGCTGTCCCTCTGTGGGCATCCCGAGGTCACAGACCACCTGGATTCAAACCCCAGCACTCTCTCTCTCAAAAGCTCTGTGGCTCCGGGTGAACCACTCCATTTCTCTGAGCCTCAGTTCTCTTCTCTGCAGATGACTCCCTGTTATTATAAAAATTAAAGGAGCCACTGGTTGTCAAAGAGTTAGGACAGGGCCTGGCACCGATTTTGCTATCACATCGTAAAGACCCCAGACTTCAGGGGACACACGACATCATGACTTTGGAATATGTAAATTTTGCCCATACCAATCAAAGGCTAGATCCACCCGTTCATCAGAGATTTGGGTATCTGCCAATTTAATAACAAAATTTGGAACAAAAGTTTTACATGTACATATACATTATATATACACACACATGTACACATACATATGTATTTCCTCCCTCCTTTCTTCCTTTCTTACATTCTTTCTGTGCCAGGCTGGCCCCAAACTCCCGGACTCAACCATCCTCCTGCCTCAGCCTCCTGAGTAGCTGGAATGATAGGCATGTGCCCTTGAAGCCTGTTAGATTCTGTTTGTGCTTTTTAAAAAGCATTTTTAGACAGGCACAGTGGCACAGGCCTGGGGTTCGTGCTACCTGGGAGGCTGAGGCAGGAAAATCACTTGAGCCCAGGAATTTGAGGCCAGCCTGGGCAGCAGAGCCAGACCTCTCCCCAAATTTTTTTGATTATGAATTAAAATAAAGTGGACCCAGCTTGAACCCAAGACTCTGCTGCCTTGACTCAGCCTCCTGGAATCTGTAGTTAGGACTCCTCACTCACCGGAACAGCTTCACGGAAGAGGTTGTAGCCCGAGATTAAGGCCAGGCCCATTTTGTCAGCAGTGGGAGAATGGATTTGACTCAGTAGGTAGTCAAAGGTCTGCTGGTTCCAGTCCCTGCAAGGGTCACCCACAGGAGTGTCACCTGATGTCCTGAGCTGGGCAATAATTCTCAGAGGTCAGCTGGGGGTATGATGAGGTGGTGGAGAGGCATCCAAAATCCAGACACCTACTAAGTACAAGCCTGCGCTGCTCCAAATGCCTTCACTTCTTCCGATATTTCCCCCACTAATGGGATGGAGTCTCTCTCTCTTTTTTTTAGTACCAGGGATTAAACCCAGGGGCGCTTAACCACTGAGCCACATCCCCAGCCCTTTCTGTTTTATTTTAAGACAAGGTCTCACTAAGTTGCTCAGGGACTTGCCAAGTTAGAGTCTGGCTTTGAACTTGCAATCCTCCTGCCTCAGCCTCCAGAGCTGCTGGGAAGATAGGCTGAGCCTCCACTCCATTAAGGGACAGAGAACAGGCAGGAAGGGGATGGGCATCTCTGCCTGGGGCTCACAGAGCCGATGATTTCCGATGAAGGAGGCTCTGACCTGGTTTGGGGGGACGATGATACAGACTGGCCACGAGACCCCGCCCATTGTGAACCCTGGGGGCAGACATCAGCTTGCTATCCCCATGTGCCTTCTCTCCGCACCCTGTGCACACAGCCCAACTACACTTCTACTCTACCCAAAGGACTTAAAAACAGCACACTACAGAGACACAGCCACATCCATGTTTATAGCAGCACAATTCACAATAGCTAGACTGTGGAGCCAACCTAAATGCCCTTCAGTGGATGAATGGACAAAGAAACTGTGGCATTTATATACCATGGAATATTACTCAGCCTTAAAGAAGAATGAAATTATGGCATTTTCAGGTAAATGGATGAAGCTGGAGACTATCATGCTAAGTGGAGTTAGCCAATCCCCAAAAAACCCAAATGCCGAACATCTTCTCTGATATAAGGAGGCTGATTCATAGTGGGGTAGGGAGGCGGAGCATGGGAGGAATAGACGAACTCTAGATAGGCAGAGGGGTGGGAGGGGTCATGGGGGTAAAGAAGATGGTGGAATGAGATGGACATCATTACCCTAAGTACATGTATGAGGACACAAATGGTGTGAATATACTTTGTATATAAGCAGAGATATGAAAAATTGTCCTCTATATGTACAATATGAAATGTAATGCATTCTGCTGTCATATAGAACAAGTTAGAATAAAAAGTAAATTCTAAAAATCCACTACAGCTTCTAGATTCACTTGCGTGTACTGGGGCCATGTGACTGTGTGTTGGCTGGAGACTCTGCACAACACTGGCCCATGAGAATGGTAACATTGAGGTCACCTTGGCAGTGACCTTAGAAGCCCTTAGAAGGGCCATGTCAGTGGATGACAAAGCCATGAGAGGGAGGGAGCTCTTGAATTGCTGCCCACTGACCAGGAACACTGGTTTTGGAATCTACAAGAGAATACTTTATTGGTTTGTTTGAAATATTATTTACTGCAGAGGGAGGGGTCGTCCACTTGTTGAAGCAGGTGTTAGTTTTTTGTTTTCTGGTGCTGGGGATTGAGCCCAGGGCCTTGTGCATGTGAGGCAAACACTCTACCAACTGAGCCACTTCCCCAGCCCATAGATGGTACTTTCTAAACAGATGTAATGACCTTTGTAACTCCTCCTTCTCCTTCTTCTGTGTTAGAGATTGAACCCAGAGCACTGTACTATTGAACCACATCTCTTTTTTATTTTGAGACAGGTTCTTGCTAAGTTGCTTAGGGCCTCACTAAGTTACCAAGGCTGGCCTCGATACCTGTGATCCTCCTGCCTCAGCCTACCGAGTTACTGGGATTACCACCGTGTGCCACAGTGCCCAGTTATGACCTTTGCATTGATCCACCTGCTCAGAAATTTTCTGGATTCGTCAATGCATATGGTACGAATGGAGACAAACCTCCTAGCACACAGTATGTGGTTTAGAGTAGAGGGAATATCCTTGAGTATTTCCTTTCCTTTTCTTTTCCTTTTTTTTTTTTTTTAACCTGAGATTGAACCCAGGAGCACTTAACCACTGAGCCACATCCCCAGCTCTTTTTAGTTTTAATTTTGAGACAGGGCCTCACTAAGTTGCTGAGGCTGGCCTGCAACTTGTGATCCTCCTATCTCAGCCTCCCAAGATGCTGGGATTACAGGCAAGCATTACAGCACCTGGCTCTTTCTTTCTTTTTTTGAGCACAAGAGAGAGGGTCTCATTATGTTTCCCAGGCTGGTCTCAAACCCCTTGATATCCTCTGTCTTTTGCCTCAGAATACGGTGGTTTGCCCAGTTCATAGGTATTTTCTTCATGTCATGCCAGATCAGAGCTTCCAAGGGTACTTACTCTCGGTGATGGACACCCTGACAGGGAGTGCCCTCTCTGCAGACTCACCCCCGTGGCCCCCCAGACTACCCTCTGGGATCCTCACTCACATTTCCCGAGGGTCGTCGGGTGGGGAGACGTAGGGCTGGATGAGCCCGGCAGCCACGTCGGTGGTGGTGTGCGGGGTGAAGCGGTCCGCGTAGACCTTCATGTCCAGCGGCTGCAGGTCCGAGTGGTAGCGCTGGTGGATGCAGAGGGCGGTGGAGAGTCCGATGACCCCGGCGCCGATCACCACCACGCGCATCGTGCCGCCTGCGAGAAGGAAGGGTGAGGCTCACCATCTCCGCCACGATCACTGCAATCGCAGTCTCCTGAAGGCTCGGAAGGCACCAGGCTCCACCAAGCCCTTTCGTTTGTCTGGTGCTGGGGATTGAACCCAGGGGCACGTCACCACTGAGCCCCAGTCCTTTTGATTCATTTATTATTTTATTTTGAGACAGAGTCTTGCTTACTTGCTGAGGCTGGCCTCAAACTCACAATCCTCCTGCCTCAGCCTCCTGAGTCCCTGGGGTTACAGGCATGCGCCACCCGTGTGACTCAGGCCTGCCAAGCCCTAATATCCTCAGTAATCAAGACCCAAAGATGCAGGATGATCAATTTTCACATTTTTCACGTGGAAACACTGAGGCATGGAGGGGAAGGGCCTCTGCCCGAGGTCAAAAAGCAGGAAAGTGGTGGGGCTTTCTCTGGGAAGCCTGCCAGGTGTCCCATCCCTTGGCTGGGAATACAAAGGGCCTGGCAGAGCCCCTGGATGACAGTGTCCTGGGTGGCCTCGAGGTTAGCGTAGTGGGGTCTGACTTCAAGTCTTCGGCCTCAGCTCTGCCACCTACCTGCCTTTGACCCCAGGCAAGATGCTCCGTGGGCTTCAAGTTTCAGTCATCCGTACCTCAGGTGAGACTTTGGTGCCCAGCGCAGAAGTGATTTAGTGACCTTCGTGAAGCACCTGCCACGCACCAGCCCCAGCGCTGAGGGTTTCACGTGCACCGTGTCACCTGAGCTTCCCAACAGTCTCCTGAGATGGCAGCTGTTGCTATTTAGTCCCATTTTACAGATGAGGAAACCGAGGCACAGGAGGAGGAAGTGACTCACCTGGAGTCACACAGCCAAGGAGTGGTGTTGCTGGGATTGGAGTCCCACCCGAGTGAACACTGGCTGTGCACATGCGCGGCTCTGAGTCCATCAGTCCAGGGTGGGACTGGCCTGAGACTCAGCCTGACTCCCGGTGCTTGGCCGGCTGGCCCCGCTGAAGTTTAGCTTTTGACCTTGAACTGCTCTGTCAGCTTCTGCTGAGGCAGAACAAGAGGACTGTTTGTGTTCAGGAGGGCCAAAGTCCACTCTCCCTCTCTGTCTTCCCAAGCGGCCTCCTGGGGTCCTTGGCTCTGGCTGATCAGCCTGTGGCCCTGAATAGCAGGACGTTCCCAATATGGCCTAGTTTTGTAAAAGAGGGGAAATGACTCCAACCCGCAAGAACTGGACTCCTGCGGGCTTTCAGAAGCCAAATTGGAGATAGAATCAACAAACAGAGAGGAGTCATTCTAGACCGTTCTCCCTCCAGCTTGGAGTCTGAGCTTGGATACAGGCGCTGGTGGGGTGGGGAGACAGACCTTATCACGGTGGCTGTGTCTCCCCTGCACCCTCTTTTCCTCAGACATGGCTGACCTCATCTGCGAAATAAGGGTGACCCCAATCTCCCGGGTTGTGCTGAGGGTTAAATGGGAACCTCTGCAGAAGTTCTAGGTATGGTGCCTGACACACAGAGGAGGCCCTCACACAGAGCAGGCGCTCTCTGTCCCCTAGCCCTGTGACAACCACAGAGGAAAGAAAACATTGGCCATAGAGGAGGCCAGAGGAAGAAAGAGGCATCAGACTTGGCTTCACTTCCAGCCTGCGGTGTCACCTGCGGTGTCGCCTGCTGAGTTACCTTTGCCAAGTTCCTCCCCCTTTCTGGGCCTTCTGACCGTTCCTCCGTAATCGCTGGAGAGCTGACTGCTTTTGTACATTAATAACAAAAAGGCTCAGGAGTAAAGGAACTTTCTTTCAATTTCCAAATTCCCTGTGATAAATCTGAGGTTGGGTGGAGGGGAGGAGGCCGTAACAACTCAGAGCCATGGTCAGACACCTCCAGGTTTGCAGCCCCGCCCTGGCACACACCCGCTATCGGATCTTGGGCAAGTCACCTGACGGGTGAGAGTGAGCAACCTTTTGGGTTTGCCCAGGACTCAGGTGTTCCCAGGATGCATACCTGCGGTGCTAAAGGCAGCAGAGTCCAGGGAGCCCTGGGTGAGCTGGGCTGGGATCCTAGGTCTGCTCTCTCTAGAGCTGCCCTTTCTCCATCTCCCTCTGCCTAGGAAATCAGCAAAGGGCTGAGAAAAAAGGGGCTGTTTATAAAATAGGAACGTGTGAGGGGGGGAAGGGAGGTGCTAGAGGAGGCTTTGGAGGCTCCTGGGAAATGAAGAGACTTTGGACTGAAGTAAGGAAAAGAGAAGAGCAGGAGAGAGGACCCAGAGCAACACCGGGATCAGGGGCAATACCGCGGGCAGCTTCCAGAACCTTCTGGAAGAACAGGCCCAGGGTCAAGAGGGTCAAACACAGCGCAGGGTGGTTTCTCCAGTGCAGAACTTTAAAGATGAGCTCATCGAGCTTGTGCAGCTGGGGAAATGGAGGCCTAGCTACTGTTTTCGGTTCCCTGCATCCTTAAAATATATATATATTTTATATTTTCTGGTACAGGGGATTGAACCCAGGGGCACTTAACCACTGAGCCCCACCCCCAGCCCTTTTTTATTTAGAGACAGGGTCTCACAAAGTTGCTTAGTGTCTTGCTAAGCTGCTGAGGCTGCCCTTGAACTTCGATCCTCCTGCCTCAGCCTCCAGAGCCTCTGGGATGGCACCTGGCTTGTGCTAAGAATCTGAAGTGCCTTATCTAGTATGGTCCTTGTGACACATTCAGACAAGCGAGCTCACGGCCTGAGACACCCCGTTGGTGACAAGCCAGGCCAGCCTGACTCCTGTCTTTGTACACTGTAACAGGCTGCTGCTGCGGGGCTGGCAAGTCCGGCCATTCAGAAAATCGCTAGTTGGAGCAGACCCGGAGAAACAGCTCATGTTTCAGAGTCCTGCATCTGCAAAACCCTCAAGTGCAACATTATGGGGTTTGTAGTGTGTCGGTGAGAATCAAAGACAAAACAGTCCCAAGGTAATTGTCTTTAGGAAGCAATGCACACCATGAGTCCAGTTTGAACCAGATGATAGCAGCCTCAAGCGTGGAGGGTGAATAGAAATGCCTGAGATTCTCAAGAGACTTGGGACCCAGACTACAGGATCCGACAGACCTAGCCTCAGGTGAAACCCCAGGAAATGAACTTCTGGACTTGGTGCAGAGATCAGATATGAAGTCAACCATTTCTTGCTGTTTTGCTGGTGCTTGTTTGACAGTGTTGAATTTCTCCCCTATTTTATGCCAATTCCTTCAACCAGGAAAGTGAAGCAGCTGGAGTTATTTTGTGTGTGTGTGTGTGTGTGTGTACATGTGTGCATGTGCACTTGATTATAATGCCTGTGCAAGGACAGACCCATAGGAGAACCAACATAATTTGGATTCTACTTCTTGCCAGACACATGAAGACACAGTGCATACCCAAGCCCCTTAATCCTCTGGACAACTCCAAGAGGTGGGTCGGGCTTGTGGTGCACACCTGTGATCCCAGCAGCTGGGGAGGCTGAGGCGGGAGGATTTCGAGTTCAAAGCCAGCCTCAGCAACTTATCGAGGCCCTGAGCAACTTAGTGAGACCCAGATTCTAAAAAATATATATATATATAAAGGACTGGGGGCGTGGCTTAGTATTATCTTTATTCTACAGGAGGGACAGAGATTCAGAGAGGGGAAGACATTCACCCAAGGTCACACCACCTGCGTGAAATGCATTCAGATATGACCCAGGTCTAGCTGGGCTTTCTGCCTGTGTCATAGAAATATTTAGGCAGCTGGCACTTGACACTTTCTGCTTGCCTCTCAGTCTCGGCTTTGTTTGCAGAAGACCTCCCTCCTGTCCTAGAAAACCCTCTGAGGCAGCTTCTGCCTTTGATGGCTACATGCTCATGAACATGAAAGATTGGTCCTATGAAAATCAGAGTCACAGGTGAGGTATACCAGTGAGCACAAGTCGGCTCTTCCAGGTTGATCACGTGGCTATGTCTTATGAGGTTGATATTTTCAGAGTTTATCTTTAAAATGGAAACGAAGCTATTAAAAAAATAAAATAGGCGGACACGGTGGCGCATGCCTGTCATCCCAGCAGCTCAGAAGCCTGTGGCAGGAAGATCACAAATTCAAAGCCAGCCTGAGCAAAGTAACGAGGCCCTGAGTGATTTAGCAAGACTCCTTCTCAAGATAAAATATATTAAAAAAAGAAAAAAGGGCTGGGGATGTGGCTCAGGGGTTAACTGCCCTAGACTCAGGTTCAATCCCTGGTACCGAAAAAAAAAAAAAAAACCAGCAATGACCACCACAAAATGGAACCAGCCTACCCACTCCCCGCTCCCAAAGATAATAATAATAATAAGGATCGTTAATTGAGTACTTGCTAAGTGCTTGATTCTACCCTGAGCATTTTATAGTCACCTCCTCTAATGTTCAGATCCGCCCTGCTAGATAGAGGTGAGTAAGGCCCCTGTGTTCCGGATGAGGAAACCGAAGCTCGGGAGGGGATTCTCCTTACCTGCAATCCCAGCCCAACTCCAAGGCTCGAGCTTCACCTCTGGGAGATGTTGGCCCAAAGTGCTCTGTCCTTCTTTCCTCCGTCGCCTGCCTCAGGCGCTGCTGTTGAGTCTGGCCTGTTGACACTGGGACATTATATCCCTCCGCCCCCTGCCCAACCCCCAGCTCAAAGGTGCACCTGTCACTCACCCCACGTGCCACAGACTTCTGGAGAAACGAGGCAGCGCCTGGGGGTGCAGGTTCTATTTCCTGCAGGATTCTGGGTTGTCTGCCTGCCTGCCAGGGAGGACAGGAGTGCAAGGTCAAAGTCCGGAGCTGTGGATGGGACACAGTGCAAGGGGTGGGCCACAGTACCGCCATGCTCTGCGGGACTGGACCCAGCCTGGCAGGGAGAACACGCCTCCCTCACTCCCAGTCTCACAGAAGTCCCTGACTTTTCTGGCTGATCCCAAGCCCCTGTGGACAGGCCTGGGGGAGGGCGTGCATGGGGGGCACTCTTGGAAGACTGATGGGCACAGGGAGCTCTGTCTTCCGGGCCAGCTGGAGACGATCCTCTCTCTTCCTGCTGCCACCCTGGCAGAGGGGAGGAGGGTTGTTCCCTGGGCCACTGTGGGCCTGGCCTGTAGGGTGGGGTGGTAGCTTGGCAGTCCCAGAGGCACAGGACAGGGGCTCGCGGGCAGGCTGGCCAGTGCAGTGCCATTCTGGGACACCGGAGAGACAACACTAAGGAGGGACTTGAGGGGACGCCTGTCTGGGCTGGGAGCCTGCGTGGTCCTCGGTTTCTGTATCCCAGAGACGCAAGGGGCAGGACTCCAGGCCCTTCCTCAGCCCAGACCAGACCTGGAGCTGGCACTGGGGGAGCCCAGGGCTCCTCGGGCACCTTGCTCTACGCGCAGAGGGCGAGACTGAGGCACAGAGAGAGGCCACCGAGACCTCGGGGAGCTCCCCCGGCCAGCTGGGATGGTCCAGGCTCCTGACCTCCAGCAGCACCCAAAACAGGGGAAGAGGACACTAAGAAAAGGCACGCGGGATACTCAGCGCCTAGTGTTTGCTCTTTCACAGTAAAAGAAAAAAATGCACGGGGTAAAGCCCACCTTTCACTTCTCATTTGAATGTTTTTTTACAACACCATGTATCGTGTGTGTGTGTGTGTGTGTGTGTGTGTGTGTGTGTGGTGGTGCCGGGGACTGAACCCAGGGCCTTGTCCATTCGAGGCAAGCACTCTACCAACTGAGCTGTGTCCCCAGCACCTGCACCATGTATCATTGTTCTTGTATTTAAAAAAAAAAGGCTTATTTATTTCTGCTGTCAAAGAACAGAATTATGACAGTGTCATTTAACAATCCTAATTGGCTTCATTTTAAATTTTAAAATCAGGTAACACTTCATTCCATAAAACAGAATCAGTTTTCCTATGAGCCAAGCACTCCTCAAAAATGATTTGATGAGTGAACATCCGATTATTTATCTTGCTTACACAAAATAAGGACAAGGGAACTTCACGATTTCGCCAGTTGAGAATGGCTGTTCTCCTTCCGATCCAGATTTCTCTTGGAGGACCAGATGTGTCAGCTTGGTTTAATTGACTCCATGTTTGGTTTGGTTTGGTTTGGTTTTTTCCCTGGAATATTGTCTCTGTTGAAAACTGGCATCACAAAGAAGGTGGCAGCAGGAAAATTTCAGAATCCAAAGTTTAAAAATAAGTCTTGGGCAGTGTGGGGTTATTTTCTGTCTCTGGGGGGGATCATCCGGTGTCCGAGGCCTGGGGACAGAAGCAAAGTCCCCAGCCGCCCTTCTAGGAGATGTCACTCTCAGTAGCATCTGGTGTCCTGACCTGTGCTAGCCCAGGAAGATGGTGGGTAAGGAGCAGCAGGTCACAGGGGCCCCCTGACCCTCTGGGAGACAGAGCTCTCCCTGGGAAGACCCCGGGGCTAAGGGTCAGCGGCCAGGGGAGAATCAACGACTGTCCTCGCCTGTGGTCCCTGAGGTCCTGGGGCAGGGATGCAGGAGGCAGCCAGTGTCACAAGACGTCCCTGTCTCCAGCCAGGCCAGGCGCCTGGCTAAGCGAGGAGAAAGATGGTGTCCCTCCTCAGGGTCTGGCCCCTGCCCCTGGTCTCACTTCCTCCCTGGCACAGCCTGGAAGGGGAGGAAGTGACACCCAGGGGAAGGCTGGGAAGTGAGGCCACCGTCACATTCAAGTTCAGGGTGTGACAGCTCAGTTGGCCTCCCAACAGGCCCCATACTCGGCTCCCCTTCATGGGCCATGTCCCTTCTGAGAGTCATGCCCTGCCCTTTATAGGCACAAGGACCCAGAAGTTCCAGGGACACGTCCATGTTTAGGCCCTCGGGATCTGGAAGTTCCTCAGGCATCCATGTTTAGGTCCCTGGAACTCAGAGACATGTCCATGTTTAAGCCCCAGGATCCAGAAGTTCGATGAGTGCATGTCCATATTTAGGCCCCCGGATCCGGAAGTTCCTTGGGCGCAAGTCCATGTTTAGGCCTAAGCATCCGGAAGTGCCTCAGGTGCACGTCCATGTTTAGGCTCTAGGATCTGGAAGTTCCTCAGGCGTCCATATTTAGGCTCTGGGATCCAGAAATGCTTCAGGCGTCCATGTTTAGGCCCCCGGATCCGGAAGTTCCTCGGGTGCATGTCCTTGTTTAGGACCCTGGATCCAGCTGTTCTTGTATTTTTTAAACCTTTATTTTATTTGTTTATTTTTATCTGGTGCTGAGGATCAAACCCAGTGCCTCCCAGTTGTTAGACAAGCACTTTACCATTGAGCTCCAGCCCCAGCCGGCCATGTATGATACTTATTGTATTTTTTAAACATTTATCAATCTATCTATTTATTGATTTATTTAGTGGTAGATGGACACAATATCTTTATTTATCTGTTTTTACGTGGTGCTGAGGATCAAACCCAGTGCCTAACATGTGCAAGGCAGGCGCTCTACCACCGAACTACAGTCCCAGCCGACCATGTATTATTTTTACAAATGATCATGGTCCAAGTTCCTCGTGCCTCTCATACATCTTGAAGCACTTAGAAGTTCACAGAAGTTAGCCATATTTTTTTTCATATTTTCCCACTCACTTTCTAGTCACATTATATTTTGTGAAAAAAACATTTTTGGTACCAGGATTGAACCCAAGGGTGCTTAACTGCTGAGCCATATCCCCAGCCCTTTTTAGTTTTTGAGACAAGGTCTTTCTTGCTAAATTGCTTAAGGGTCTTGCTAGGTTCCTGAGGCTGGCTTTGAACTTGGAATCCTCCTGCCTCAGCCTCCCAAACCACTGGGATGACAGGTGTGTGCCACCATGCCCAGCTTGTCTTGTGATTTCCATGTACCAGTTCTATATACTTATCTGGCTGATCTCATTTAATCTCAAAACAGCCCTGTAAGGTAGATGCTGTTATTATCATGCCCACGTCAGTGCTGACAACCAGAAATGTGCCACAATATTTACTAAAGCCAAACATCCTCCTACCCTAAGACTGGCATCTCACTCTTTTATAGATGCCCAAGAGAATGAAGACACAGATTGGTCAAAAGGCTTGTATAAGAATGTCCCTGGGCTGGGGATGTAGATCAGGTGTAGAGTGCTTGCCTAATGTGGGTGAGGCTCTGGGTTCAATCTGCAGAATTCCCAAGGGAAAAAAAAAATGTTTCCTTCCAGTCGAAGTAGTGTATGCTTGTAATCCTAGCAACTGGGGAGTCTAGGAAAGGAGGATTAAAGGAAGTTCGAGGCCAGTCTGGGCAACATAGTGAGTCCCTTCTTCAAAATAAAAAATTGATAGTGCTGGGGATGTAACTCTGTGGTAGAACATCCCTGGGTTAAATCCCCAGCAATGGAAAAAGCAAATCCCTAACCTCAAACCAGAAGCAAAGTCAGATGTTTATCAGCCAAACAGTGGTGTTTTCAAACAGTCTCATGGAGGAATATTACTCAGTGATGAAAAAGAAAATACAACAACCAGAATGAGTGTCAGTCTTACAGGGAGGAGAAGCCAGGCACCTAAAAGCCCAGACCGTACATTCCCATTTTTTTTTTTTTTTGAAAAGCCAACTGACCATGATAGGGGGTGTGGGAAAGTGGCTACGTCTGAGAGAGGAGGGAGAAAATGTTCTGAGATGCTGGAAACAGGTTTCTTAACCTGGGTGTTGATTACAGGAGTGTGTGCACGTGCAAAAATGTATTGACTTCATGCTTAAAATTAAGATTAATGTACTTGACAAAATGAAAGAGGGAAGGAATAAGGAGGGAAGGGAAAGACAGAAGGAAGGAGAGAGAGACAGAGACACAGACAGACCTTGCTCCCAGCCCCACTGTGTAGAAGCAGAGGCCCAGCTATCCATCCAGGTCAGGCTTGTCAGATCCAGCAAATAGATTACCCAGGATTGTACCTGTTGTCCCTTCCCCAGACGGCCAGAGTTCACGGCTGGGTCACTTTGTCACCATGACCAAGAGCTTAACCAAGAATGTAGAGTGGCCTCCGTCACCTGTGCCTATGCTGCAGGCCTGGAGGGGGGCTGTGGCTTCAGAAAGCCCTGAGCTGAGTGCAAACAAGCATGTCCAGTACTGTTATTTAATTTGGGAAAATGAACTTAGGACATGCTTATTGTCGTCTCAACCCAAACCTCGGGATATCGGATATCCCCTTTCTTTTCCTTCCTTCCTTCCTTCCTTCCTTCCTTCCTTCCTTCCTTCCTTTCTTTCTTTTTTTTGTAGTGGGGATTGAACATAGGGGTACTCAACCACTGAGCCACTTCCCCAGCCCTTTTTTGTAGTTTACTTTATAGACAGAGTCTCACTGAGTTGCTTAGGGCTTCAATAAGTTGTGGAGACTGGCCTCCAACTTGAGGTCCTCCTACCTCAGCCTCAGTGTGCACATCTGCACCTGGCCCCTTATCTTTATCAGAGTGAGGAATACTGATATGGTTGAACCCATCCATTTTATAGTTAGGGAGACTGACAGAGAAAGAAGAAAGAAGGAAAGAAAGAAACCAAATAGAGAAACGGATGTGTGCCATGTCCCCCAGGGATGTGGGGCCCACTCAGAGAGCCAGGGGAGAGCAAGCCCTCTCTACCACCCTCAAGTTCAGGGTTCATTGACCATCACAGCAGGAGGCCCCAGATCTTTGGAAGCAATTTCTGTTTATTTGACCAGTCAAAGGCCGTGTTGATCCACTTGCTGGCTGGTTGGTGAAAAACACAAACTCCTCACCTCCTGGGGCTCTGAAATACACTCAGGCCAGGGCCAAGTCTTGGAGAATCCTCTATGGAAATCAGA